CTAAGACCAGGCGCCAGAAAGGATCCCTGACCGCACCACCAGATAGGGAGGGAAGGAAGGTTGATTCATTAGGTAGGAAAATTCATCTTTCGGCAGGGTTGATCACAAGAATGGCCCACTTTGCAACGTACATGAGTGGGTATCAGAATTTCTTGTGGTCAAAGATTCGCCCCTATCTTGATTTGTTGCCGGCTGAGGAACAACGGTGGCCTAAAGCATTACAGGAGGAGGCCATTATTTTGTCTAGGCTCCAGAAGGATTTCGCCAAGCACCTGGCTGAAACAGCCGGTAACCTCTTTGCCACCGCCACCTCCGTCAGACGGCATGCGTGGCTCCGGGCTGCTAATCTTTCAGATGAAGGCAAAGCCTTGGCCGAGGACCTTCCACTTCATGTGGAGGGGCTATTTAATCCGGAAACCGATGAAAAACTGAAAAGCAAGCAGGAAGTCCGCCAGGCGGCGAGTAAATTTGGCTATACTTGGCAGCCCAATTACCAGGCAAAACCTAGGTGGCAACAACAACACTCTCCTGGTTTCCGTAGAAATTATTCAAATAGCCCTGCGGGGTCTTATAGAAACCGTGGTTCAAATTCATCTCGGTTCCAGACAGGGAGAAGATTCCCCTATGCGCCGAAATCAAGATACCAACCGTTTCAGAACAAGACCAGGTCTCAGCCCGCCTCTAAGAAGCGTGTTTGACATTTGCTCTGATGCTTCAGATGACCGGTCTGCCYCTGTTGACCCGTTCGGGTCGTCGTTATGTTGTTTGGCAACCGTGGCTCCTAGTGCTCCTTGCACTCTATCGTTTTATGAGAGACTGTCTCCATACTATGAGGCTTGGGCTTGCATCACATCGGATGTCTGGGTCCTGTCTATAGTCAGGAACGGTTATAGAATTGAATTTGAGGACACCCCTCCCACGGGTGGGGCGATATCCACACCTGTTTCGTTACCATTGTTGCAGGAGGTTCAGACTCTCTTGTCTAAGGGGGCCATTTCAATTGTTAGCCCTGCTATGTTTCGTTTTTGTTTTTTCTCTCGCTACTTTCTTGTTAATAAAAGAGGTGGAGGCTTTCGGGCCATCATGGATCTCAGAGCCCTCAATAAACACATTTCTCCGAAAAGATTTCGCATGGTTACTTTGTCCACCATTTTGCCTCTGTTGTTTCGGGGTGCCTGGTTCGCTACGGTGGATTTGAGAGACGCCTATTTTCATATCTCCATTGTCCCACACCACCGTAGGTTCCTAACATTCATGGTGGGGCAATTTGCTTATTGCTACAATGTCCTACCCTTTGGTCTTTCGACGGCCCCCAGGGTTTTCACCAAATGTATGTCGGTGGTTGCTGCGCACCTCCGCACTAAGGGAATAACGGTCTACCCCTATATAGACGACTGGCTTATTGTCGCCAGTTCACCTGACTTGCTTAACAGACACGTATCTGTCATTCTCTCCTTACTTCAGTCTCTAGGTCTGGTCGTCAACCTGGAGAAGTCCTCCCTCACCCCGTCTCGTCGGATCCAGTTTATCGGGGCACTACTGGACTCCGTCTCCCAGAGGGCCTATCTACCTCCAGATCGCTTCACCAAACTGGCGGAACTGGTCAACCACGTCATAACAGCTCCCAGGATCTCAGCCAGACAAATTCAAGTTTTGTTGGGGCATATGGCGTCAACTACGGCTGTTACCCCCTATGCCCGACTGAGAATGCGGCCCCTACAATTCTGGTTTCTCTCAGTGTTCAACCCCCTCAGGGACAAACCCACCATCAAATTAACTGTCCCTGCAGATATCCGGCAGTCCCTGTCGGAGTGGAGGGACAAGCACTGGGTTTGTGCGGGTCTTTCATTCCAATCCCCGTCCCCTGCCAGGTCTATAACCACGGATTCCTCCCTTACGGGGTGGGGGGCGCATTCCCAGGGTCTGCTGGTCCAGGGTGTATGGACAAACGAAGAAGCCGCCATGCATATAAACATGCTCGAACTTCTGGCCGTAGACAAAGCCCTAAAGGCTTTCGAAAGGGTGGTGTCCGGAAAAACCATTCAAGTACTCACCGACAACACCACGGTGATGTACTACTTAAACAAGCAGGGAGGCACTCACTCGGGGCCACTGCTAAACCTGTGTTTACAGATATGGGATTGGTGCATCTCCAGGGGAATTCACCTCCTAGTCACTCATCTTCCCGGGATCGACAACGGCCTCGCGGACACGCTCAGCAGGAACCCCATGGCCCACCACGAGTGGTCGCTGAATTGGGAAGTAGTCCACGAGTTATTCAATCATTGGGGGATTCCAGAAGTGGACCTATTTGCAACGCACCTGAACAACAAGTGCAGGATCTATTGTGCCCGTTGCCACCCGAATCCATTGATAGGTTGCCTGGGAGATGCTTTCCAGCACAACTGGGGGGGCAGGCTGGTATATGCCTTCCCTCCGTTTCCCTTGTTAGTGAGAGTGATCGCAAAAATCAGGAGGGACAACGCAGTTTGTATACTGGTAGCCCCATGGTGGCCCCGACAGCCTTGGTTTGCCCCTCTCCTTCAGTTGGCGGGGGACAGGTTCCTTCACCTTCCGGACAGGCCCGATCTACTTCTATCCCAAGGGGGTCAAGTGGTGTACCCGGACGTCAGGTTACTGAATCTCACGGCGTGGTACATTCTGCCCGCGCCGTAGATACGTTCTCGGAACTGTCGCAGCCTGTTTTAGCGATCATCGAGGCCGCGCACAGACCGTCCACCAAGAGGTCTTACCTTTATAAGTGGGGTAGATTTGCTAAGTTTGCGGCCTCAAAAGGTGTCACCCCGGATTTGGCCCCCACCTCTCTAGTCTTAGACTTCTTAGTTTCGCTTTTGGATGCTGGGCTTTCGAGTTCTTCTTTAAAATGTTACTTAGCTGCCATTTCGTGGTTTAAAAGGAAAGCCGGCTTACCTTCTTGTTTTTTGGATCCTTTGGTGAAGTCTTTTCTACGAGGTCTTGCAAACACTAAGCCTTGTGTAGCACCTGTCGCTCCTTCTTGGAGCCTCGAACTAGTGCTTGCGGCTCTAATGAGACCTCCGTTTGAGCCACTGGCAACAGTGGATCTCCCCTATTTGTCTTGGAAGGTGGCGTTTTTGATGGCCATCACGTCTGCACGGCGGGCCAGTGAACTATGTGCACTCAGAGTGGATCCTCCTTACCTGAGGTTTCATAAAGATAAAGTGGTTTTACGTACTGATGTTGCTTTCTTACCTAAAGTTTCCACCAAGTTCCACATGTCCCAGGAAATTGTCCTCCCTTCGTTTTTTCAGAATCCCTCTTCCCAGTTGGAGAAAGGCTTGCACCTTCTGGACGTGAGGAGGGCTGTAGCTTTTTATGTAGATAGGACGGCCGGGATTAGGAAAACTCCCAGGTTCTTTATTAAATATCGTAGTGATGCCAGGGGTTTGCCGTTGTCCTCGCAGCGTTTTTCCTCCTGGGTGGTGTCCCTCATTCGTTTGTGTTATCAGTTATCGGGCAAGGACTTACCTTTGCAGGTCAAGGGTCATTCGACTAGGTCGGTTTCCACGTCTATTGCTTTCTTACGTGGTGTTCCCTTGGATGTCATCTGTAAGGCTGCAATATGGTCGAATCCACTTACCTTTGTCTCACACTATAAGTTGGATGTCGTTTCCAGGAGGGCGGCTGATTTTGGGAGAGCAGTGTTGTTTTCGGCGGTGGCATGATCCCCGCCAGCCAGGGTCAGTAGCTTGTTAGTCTACCATTGGTGCAGATTCACAGTGACTACGACAGGAAATTATAAGTTGCTTACCTGTAACTGTAGTTTCCTGAGTAGTCACCTGTGAATCTGCACAGCCCCGCCCTTCCTCCCCTCGAGTATCATGCCCCGCCTTCTTGCTGCTTTGCGGCGGAAGAGAACTGAGTGGCCTGGCCCCGCGTTGGGCTATATACTCGAGAGGGGAGGGGGGAGGTGGGGCGGGGCCAGGCTTAATTTTTTGTAATATCTATTTTATTCTGGAAGGTTCCGAAGCTTTACTGCGCAGGCGCAGGAATACCATTGGTGCAGATTCACAGGTGACTACTCAGGAAACTACAGTTACAGGTAAGCAACTTATAATTCACAAAGCCATTGTGTACCTGATGGATAAAAACATGGAACCATGGTAGGTGGCAGTGGCTCTTATTTGAAAACATTTCACTTGTATGAAGCAACCTTTTATTCATGAATTTGGTATATCAATGGAGACTGTAAGGAAACCATCAAACTAAGGTTTCATGGTTGCAGAGAAAGTAGCGAAGGTGGAGTTGTTCAAGAGTGATTGCTTTAATAGTGAAAAAACATTGGATGAGGTAGTAAGCTGAGCAGGAACCAAGTGAACTGCTTTAGTTACTATATTGCAGTGGTTCTCAACCTGGGGTCCCTAGATGTTTTTGGCCTACAACTCCCAGAAATCCCAGCCAGTTTACCAGCTGTTAGGATTTCTGGGAGTTGTAGGCCAAAAACATCTGGGGACCCCAGGTTGAGAACCACTTCTATACTGCTTTAATCTCCATGACTCATGAGACAAAGTGCAAAAGCCATAAGTAAACATTTGGTTTTTTATTGATACTGATAAACCCATATCATGAATTCTTGCATAGCTAGAAAAATATAATAGAAATACCGTATTAGTTTCTCAAATCTGTGTAAATCTTCATTTATATAAGTTACAGTAATTGACTGACATAAAATGGGTTTTTATAGGGGACTAGTAGATGTTGAATCGATAAGAAAATGGTACCCTTTAAAAAAGAAATTACAACTGTACTATAAATCTTTACATGTTTTACACCAGCATTTGATCTGAAAACAAGCATAAATTCAGTTGTTATCCCGACTAGAGTTGACCCACGGAATGTATGAGAATTTGGTAAATCAGTATTCAGCATAAATTCCATTGATGTGGTATATCTTTTAAATAGGATAAGAATATTAAAATGGTACATTTGCAACATCTTCTCACACTGTGTAACAAATCTTCAAAGCTAACAGGGATAATAAAGCTTCAACTCTGTTGAGCTTTTCTGTTTATATGCTGAGCCATATGTTTGACATCCATCATTCACTTAACAGGAAAAGCCTATTTTTATTATAACTGCAATATGTTTTCCTCCCAGGATCAAATAATCAGTGGCCTCATTGACATGTTTTATATTTTAATACCCTCAAGACATTGGATTGTTTTCCTGCATACACAAAGCAAATGCTCTTACTGCATGCTCATTTGGAGATGCCTAATGGAGTGGGGTGGGATAACATTATATCTGCTCTGTTTGCTAGTCCATCCTTATCTTTCTGCGTCAAAGACAGGTTCAGAAATTGATTAAACAAGCCTTCCTTCCTAGCTATTTCCTCCTTTCATCCTGGCAAATGAAATCATTTTGCTGGAAGCTTTCAGCGGACAGGACGTGGGTCTCTGTGCATCCTCAAACACATCTCTGAAGAGAAGAGCCTGTATCTACTTAGAGAAAACAAGAAGCTGGTAGCTGCAACAGCATTAGCAAATCCTCTCTGGACAATTTCCCATCAACTTGAAGAGAATCATCTGAGAGCAGAGCAAGAATACTATCCACTAGGTTTTTATTTTTGCTGTGACCTCGGCAACTAACAGAAGTACACATTTGTTTTCAACTTGATGTTGCTTCTTGTGGATTAAATATAGATTGTGTGTGCAGGAGACACCTTAAACCCAATGTTCTTCTCAGTTTAAAGAAGATGCCCTCTATTGCATATGCAGTGCTACACGTTGCCTTGAGTATCTGCATCCCATCTACCAACCTACTTGTCATCATTGTCATCTGTCAGCTGAAGAAGAAGCGACCAAGCAGAAACTATGTCTTCATACTTAATTTAGCAGCTGCTGATCTGCTGGTTGGTGTCATGTGCATTGGGGATGCTTTGGATGATGCAACGGATGCACTATTTGACACAAGTCTTTTTCTTTGTCTCTTGCGGATCTGCTTGAGCATTACTCCTTGCATTGGCTCCATCCTCACCTTGCTGTTGGTGTCTCTGGACAGGTACTTAGCTGTGAGGTTGCCTCTCCATTACCCTACGCTTATGAACAAGAAACGTATAATCTTCTCGCTTGTTGTCGTGTGGACTATTGCCTTCTTGGTGGGACACCTGCCACTGATGTCCCCAGAACTGCAGCAGAGAAATTATACAGGGGGTCACTGTGGGCTTCTGTCTGCTGCTCAGAATGAATACTTATACATAATCTGTTTTGGTATTTTTGTTCCTGCCTTGCTGACCTTGGTCTGTTTGCATATCGCAGTGGGTAGGATAGCATATCTACAGCACAAGCAGATCCAGCGTGCGTGCTTGCGCGCAGATACCTTTATTGCTCATCTTCGCCATTTCAAAGCCTTGAGGACTGTCCTTATCATGATCATCTGTTTCATCGTTTTCTGGGGCCCTTATTACCTGGCTGCCATTGTGAAAGCTATTTGTACATCTTGCACCGTGTCCCCAGTGTTGAAGAACGTTTTGTTCCTTCTTGGAGAAACAAACTCTCTGATCAATCCTTTTATCTATTCATTGTACAGTAAGGATATAAGAACTCAGCTTGCCAGGCTGATGAACTGTGAAGGGAAAGGACAGATAAAGCCCTACAGGTCTTTTGGCCAGGTAGTGGCCCATTTCAACATCAAAAACCATAGTGATTCAACCTCTGGGAGATCCACGAGACAAGATTCATCTGGGGATCAAGAGTCTGACTTACCTCCTTGCAGTACAGTGTTCTCGATTTCCTGAACCCAGGCAAAATGAGCAAGAAAGCCTTGAATAAGTGGATAGTTCCTGTATGTTGATGATTGATGAATAGATAAAATTGTGGACCAATATTTTGGATGTATATTTCATCTTCTGCCCTACTGGCTGGGTCAGCCATTGATGCAAAAAACACAAAGATGGGTTCAGTAAGATGTAAATAGTTAGGGTATAATGAATAGTATAAAACTGGAAAAACAATGATTGTCTTATAACACCTGTACCGTTTGGAAACTGTCGATAAGCAGCCAAAAGCAGGATATTTTCCTACATATGACTTGAACACAGTGTAAAGCATTAAAAGTCTGTCTTCAGTTTCTTCGATAAAGTCCTCTTTTTCTTCAGAAAACAATTGAATCAGGTATGTCTTTGGTAATTCCCTTTTCTTAAAACAAAGGTGGAGACCAGGTGCTTTGTCCTACGAGACCCATCAGCACTACCCAGCATAACCTATGATAAGAAATTGTGGGAATTGTAGTCTAAAACATCTGGGGATCAACAGCACCCCATTCCTGTGTTGAGAAAGACAGATTAAAGCTAGCTTTTTCTCAGGCTGATGTTCAGAAAGGTGGTCCTGACACAAACTTGTTTTGTGAGGGAAATCCCAGTTGTAAACTATATGCCTTGGATAGCTCTCCATTAATAAGGAATGGTTTAATCTTAGTGAGTGATTTTATAAAGAACTACTTGCCACCAAAAACCTGAAGTATAGTTGGTTGTAGTGCAGTGCCATCTGTTAACTCTTCCCTGCGTCAGATTATTTTTTGTCAAGTAACTTGCTGGCCCCTAGATGCAAACTATCTGCATGTGGTAGTTAAAAGGAACATCAGATACAGCAGGAAACTGGTGAGTTATATCTGAATCCAGTGTTGGTTTCACTGAATAAACTTAGGCCAAACTAGCAAACTCACCTTCAACTGACCTTCAGCTATATGGGGATATTACTAAGAGATATGTTCCTATTTTTTAAGTACAGAAATGATTTTTAAAGAGAGAAAAACCTAGGAAATGTACTTGCTAAAAGTAATACTAAAACATTCCTTCAGGTTACTTTTATGCCTCGTCCATCTTAAATGGGTAGTTATGATTACACACTGGAACTCTTTCCTCATTGCCTTATTTGGCTCTTTCACTTATTGGCTCTAAGACGTTTTGCTGAAACACTGACTTCTGAGGGCATTTGGAATTAACTCTGAGAATGTTCTTGATACTTGATGTTTTTGGAATCCCTGGTGGCACAGCGGGTTAGAGTGCTGAGCTGCTGAACTTGCTGACCGATAGGTTGGCGGTTTGAATCCAGGGAGTGGGATGAGCTCCTGCTGATAGGTGCAGCTTCTGCCAACCTAGCAGTTTGAAAACCTGCAAATGTGAGTAGATCAATAGATACCGCTTTGGCGGGAAGGTAATGGCACTCCATGCAGTCATGCTGGCCACATGACCTTGGAGGTGTCTATGGACAACGTCGGCTCTTTGGCTTAGAAATTGAGATCAGCACCACCCCTCAGTCGGACATGACTAGACTGAATGTCAAGGGGAAACCTTAACCTTTACCTTATGGTCTTGATATTGCAGGAAGATACCAGATTGTTTATCTTGTTTTCTGTCCAAGATACATAATATGCTTATCAAATATTTCAATCTGATCTTCTGTTCATACAGAATCCAACATAGTTATACATACGTCTCACAACAATGAAGCTAGCATCTTCATATAATTTGATAATGATCAGGCTGGTGAATTTATTATTTCCGTAATTAAATCGTCCAGAGCTGTGTTTATTTCACAGTCTTTGCAGAGGTTTGTTAATCTTGAAGCCCATTTCAAAATGTATGAAGGGAGCTGGACTTTTGGCCCCCAGTCATTGGTAGGAAAATCTAAGCATCCATGCAATTTTGCAAAGATACGGAGAATTTTGATTCTGCTGGCAAATAGTAGCAAATCATCTTCAGATACATGCTTTGGCCACGGATGATGACCAGGAAGTAGCTTTAAGGAAACAAAAAGCAAGAAATGAACAGTGTTTTAAGGCTTCTGTGCTTCCGTATAATAGACATTCAATAACTTGCTTAAAATAAAACCAGAATAGCAACACATTTTAAAAAGCAGAATGTTTCTGATGTGAAAAAGGCTGATCTTCCAATCATTTCCTGGTGAGTTTTAAGTTATCTAAAATTCATAAACCCAACAAGCCAAATTGATTTATAGCCATAGCCATCAATGTTCTTAAAGGTACCTTGAATAAACAACATATAATTAATAACCATCATATTCCTAACAGCTGATGGGCACATCACATTACATCAACACATCTCATTTGGACTTATGCTAAATTCCTAAAATTCAGAATCAACAAAACTTTAGTCACTTAGCTATACTAATAATTTAATTAGGTGTTTTAACCAAAAGCATCACATTCAAATGGAAGGAAGGCATTGCAACAGGCACACAAATTTTTCCAGAACTTCTGCAGAAGCACTTGTTTTAAAAATATATATATGGATGAGCATCTTTAGGTATTTTCAACCTGAATGTTTTACATACAATAAACACTTCACTTGTTCTGTTTCTTGATGAGACTTTTTTTCTATGCATTTCTATTGTTTAGAAAATCAACTCATATGAAATGAGATGCTGGAGAAAATAAATACTATGGACGGCTGAAAAAGACAAATCGGTCTTAGAACCAATAAACTCTGAACTCTCAAACTGATGACTAAAGTGAAGCTTTTGTACTCTGGACATATTTATTTATTTAAAACTTTTATATCCCAATCATCTCAACTTCCGAGAGGGACTCAGACATATGAGTCAATGTCACGTAGTAGAAAAGATAATGCTCTGTAAAGTAGAAAGCAGAAGGAGGAAAAAGAGGGAAACCATGACTTGAGTTTGCAAGACCTGAACAGGGTCCTTGATGAGTGGGGGCTCTTGGAGGGATCTCATTCATAACAGTCACCATGAGTCAAAGCAGATTTGACTGTTAATAGTAAATATTCTGTAGAATAAAGATGAACAGCTTCTAGTGATCTAGGGTTAATTTTTGTCCTCTGACAGATGGGACAAGATGTCCCATATTTCTTTCTCTTTGAAAGATATTCCATTCTCCCACATAGTAATCCATCACAACCTCTGAGGATGCCTGCTATAGATGTGGGTGCAGCGTCAGGAGAGAATGCTTCTGGAACATGGCCATACAGCCTAGAAAACTCACAGCAATCCAGTAATCCTTTATTTCTTGCCCAATTATGGCGTAATTATACACTCTACATTCCCACCACCCCCTTCCCTCTAAAATAAAGTACCTCTACTTTTGTTCCGATGCTGATTTTTGCTTGCTTCCCCATTGCAAGAAAAGAAATGGCTAATTTGTCTTGTGTTAGTATTCTCACACCAACGTTCAGGTTCAAGGCAAGAAAAACTGGTTTAAACGATGCTCTGGGACTCTTCTTCTGCAAGTTATTTGGCCAGATCCAGGCTTTCACTTTGCTGCCATCTTGGTCTGAATAATGGCCTCCACGAATTGTTATATTAATCCTAAAGGTGGAAAACAATTATCTCAGGAAAGCTTTAGATAGGAAACAAGAATGACTACAGCCACAGATCTACCTATGTCCAAGAATGGGAAAATGCATAACATTTGGGAGCTAGAAGTCAGGACCGCCTGTCACTTATATGTGTGGATGTGGTTCGATATTCCTTCGGGTCATTACATCTTCATAAATGGACCTGTGTCTGCCAGAATTAGAATTGTGCAGTTGTGTTAACATCTGTATCCAGCAGAGTGCTGCTGTTGTTACTATGGAACGGAATGCCCAATATGCAATGGGTTCTTATCAGTGTCTCTTTACGCACCTTTGCAATTCCATAAAGGTATTCATTAGTGTTTCTGCTATATAGCTAGACACAAAGCTACATAATGATAATATAGGATTCCAGAGGTACTTTTCTGGGCATTGCTGGAGTTGGTATTCCTATATTTTTCCAGTTTTCATAGACCTCTCCTAAAACTGACTTAACAGCACCAAAGCCACCTTGCATGACCATTCTCTATGTCACAACAAGGATCTGAGAAGCATCTGGCAATGCCCCCCATAAGCAGAAGTGCTGATTCCCCACTGATCTCAATGCTGATACCTTCATTGTGTGTATGAGTATGGCTATGGCTACTGGAGGGGGGAGAAATGTGTTGTCAGATGTGTTCTCTAAGGCAGCTGCAGGGCTTTAAAGTAATCCAGGAGGTGGCATTTACGCTACTCTGCGATGCTGAACTGATGCCAGATTTAAGATATCAATAACCTACAGACATTGAATTTCCTCATAATGCTCATTTCCCTCCTGCATCAGACCACTTGCTTATGCAGTCATCCCATATAAATGTTAAGATCACTGTCTGTTTAGCTGAATAATGTTTAATTGCTTCCATAAGTGTAACTGTGTTAGTCTGTGACAGCAAAAATAGATATGCAAATCCTCATAAATGTTGTTCTCACAGGTGGGAATGAATTACCATTTTTCTTCCTTCTGAAAGGATGTGTTCGAAAACGATGCAATTTTCCAAGACTCTTTGGGACTTACTTAGTGCAAAAAAGCACATGCGGACTTTTTATGTCCAAACCAGCATAGAAATCATGTTTCCTGTGCAAAAATCCCAAATGTGTGGGGGTTTTTCCCTACAGAATACATTCAAACCTGTGAAGATTTTTTTTTTTGGTCCGGGATACTTCTCCTCAGCATATTAAATGGCACTACTTTCAAAGTTTAGGACTGTACAATCCAGCTTGCCCCAGGCTGAATTTTCCCCACATTAACTTTAAATCAACTTACCACACATTTCCATTTGGATGATAGCAAGTCCCTCTCCCACTTGAATCAAACACTGCTTGAATTTCTGCATTCTCGGACTTGTCTTCTTGGACTATACAAATGGTGGGTGCATTCTCCTTCTTTGGTATAACCATTATTGCCAGATTTCCAGATGGATAGCTGCTTGCTGATAAGGCTTTTCTGACTTTTTGACTTTCTTAACAATGCTATCACATTGTCAGGGCATGTGGATAGTTTTGATTAATTTGTTCTTTATGTTTGCACAGTCTTAATTAATCCAAATGATTGGGCTAGAAATATTTTGGATTTTGATTCCTCCCCCACTAGATTTTGGAACACCTATATTTATTTGCATGCAGTGAATGAAGGAAGGTGGGGGGGGGGGGATTTGTACATAATGTCCTGGCCTTAATACACTGAAAGAGATGCTCTGGTTACCATCCTGGAGATAATTTAAATTTGGTTGCAGAATGGAAAAGCCTTCCCTGTTGTGGGACCCACCACATGAAATTATCTCTCATTGAAACTAGAGTGATTCCAAGCTTTGGGTGTTTCCATCATCAACTAAATATATATTTGTATCCCCAGGAATTTTTCCAATTAGATCCAATTTTTCCTATTGAGAGAGTCAGCTAATTTAATATTTTTACTTTATTAAATTAATCATTTTATGATTCTTTTATGGCATTTAGGTACTGGTTTCTCTGTACTGGTTTCTCTGTGCTTTATGGCATTTAGGTACTGGTTTCTCTGTAACCACTTCAAGACTTTCAAAATGAAAAGCAACACAAAATGTTCTTAAGTAAATACGCTGAAAAGTAGCCTATAAGTAGCCTATAAAATAAAGTTCAACACATATATCTATGGATTTAATATCCAATGTTTTGCTTACCACACTACAAAAAAGAATATCCTCCCTCTTGAGAAGTGTTTGTAGGTCATAGAACCATAGAATCATAGAGTTGGAAGAGACCTTGTGGGCCATCCGGTCCAACCCCCTGCCAAGACGCAGGAACATTGTATTCAAAGCACCCCCGACAGATGGCCATCCAACATCTGTTTAAAAGCCTCCAAAGAAGGAACCTCCACCACACTTGAAGCTATTATTCCATACCCTAGTCTTCAGGGCAGCAGAAAGCAAGCCTGTTCCCTCCTCCCTGTAACTTCTCCTCACATATTTATACATGGCTATCATCTCTCCTCTCAGCCTTCTCTTCCGCAGGCCAAACATGCCCAGCTCTTTAAGCCACTCCTCTTAGGGCTTTTTCTCCAGACCCTTGAACATTTTAGCCACCCTCCTCTGGGCATCTTCCAGCTTGTGGACCCCTGCCTTAAATTGTGGTGCTCAGAATTGGACACAGTATTGCAGGAGTGGTCTGACCAAGTCTGAATAGAAGGGTAGCATGACTTCCTTGGATCTAGACACTATACTTCTATTTATGCAGGCCAAAATCCCATTGGCTTTTTAGCTGCTGCATCACATTGTTGGCTCATGTTTAACTTGTTGTCCATGAGGACTACAAGATCTTTTTCACACGTACTGCTGCTAAGCCAGGCATCCCCCATTCTGTATCTTTGCATTTGTCCATGTTGGAGTGTCTTGCATTTGTCCATGTTGAACTTAATTTTGTTAGTTTTGGCCCATCTCTCTAATCTGTTAAGATCTTTTTGAATTCTGCTCCTGTCTTCTGGAATATTGGCTATCCTTCCCAATTTGGTGTCATCTGCAAACTTGATGATCATCCCTTCTAATCCTTTAAAGGTCCTTTAAATCCATTATGTGATATGCTTTTCTCCCAGATATTGTCAAATATACGGTTCACTATTATCCTTTTTTTTTTTTGCATCTGTGTGTGTGTGTGTCTTGAAACATATCTCTTGTGGAATACTATGCAGCAAATATCAGACACAGTAATAGGCAAAGTAAGATGTAAGAGACTAAAACCTGGATGAAGGAACGTTTGCTTGCCATTCCAAAAATTATTTTGTTGCCTTAGTGCCAAGTCTGCTACTACAGCCCTTTGCACTCAACCTTGTAGATGAGCATAAAAGGATACAAGATTTGAGCTGTGCCATTTGGAAACATTGTAAGAAACTTTACGCCATTTTTGTAATATTGTTGTAAAAACTGGTTTTTCACTAACTGCACATGAAAGAAAAAAAATAAGAGGTTAAAACCACAAATCAAAACAAAATGTAATCGATTAAATAGCAGATTAATAGAAAATAGATCAAAGTGTTAAATTGTAGTAGGTGAAAAGGATAAAATTAAACAATAATTGATGGCTTTTGAAAATGTAATCATTGGTGCTACCTTTTTCAAACCTTCTACCTCTAAATAAATAGAAATGTAATGTACATTTGTGGGATTAACATAACTCAAAAAACCACTGGATGAATTGACACCAAATTTGGACAAAATACACCTATCAGGCCAACAAGTCACCATCACTCATAAAAACACTGAAAAACACAGCAGAAGAGGCTTACAAATAAAAAATACATTACAACGCATGTGCAAAACCACATATATATACACAAACACACACACACACACACACACACATATACACACACACAGGTGTAGAAAATTAGGTACCACCTTGTGTGGGGAGGCTAAATTAACTATTTTATGAGGTCCTAAAAAAGACTCCAGCAAAGCACTCCAGCAAAAGCATGCGGGGAATGCGGAAATACTTCATCAGTGTCGCAGATGGACAATGAAAGCGACAGCTCCCCTGGCAGCCAGAAAAAGTTAAATAGCCTCTGTGTATGTCTGTATAAGTTGTATGTCAAAATTGGCATTGAATGTTTGCCATATATGTGTTCATTGTAATCCGCCCTGAGTCCCCTGCGGGGTGAAAAGGGCGGAATATAAATACTGCAAATAAATAAATAAATACACACACACAACACACATACACAGACTGGGCCACAGCAACATGTGGCAGGGGATGGCTAGTAAGCCAATAAGTTTCTAGCTACACTGGATTTTTCCCAGTTCTGTAATCCTGTAGCCTGGTGGTTGGAAAACCTTAGATTTTGGACTACAACTCTCAGAATCCACTGGAAAGCCATTTTCAAATTATGAGAATGGGCTGGTTATATTATCTTTTGTCCTGCTGAGGTTAGATGAAAAAATATGTAGATCAGAGGTGGGCAAAATGCAATATTGGGGCCAGATATTGATTTTGTGGCCTTTGGTCTCTCCAGGCTCCACAGAGCAGCATTTTTCTAGAAACAAGAAAGTGAATTGTTTCTTTTGGATGCCTCTATGAGAAGCAATTCACTTTTAAAATAGGTTTCATGTTCCTGCCACTTGCACTAACATAGACATGTACACTTTTGCTGCCACCAGTTCCTGGACTGGACATAATTTAAGACTTTCAAGATGACTAGTTACATATAACAAATATAGATAGATAACTGGTTATTTCAATGCTTCAATACTTGCGCCTTACTGAATCCAGCTTTAAATGGTACGAACAGTCTGGGGCTACAACTGGTGGTGGAGGAAATGCAAACATAGGTGCCATGGCGTTGGATGAACATATTCTCTTGGACACAACAATTACAATCACTTCTGTATACTAGCAAATAGCTTTTTATGTACCATTTAAAAACTTAGACCAGACCTTGAACTATGGTGTTCAAGAGACCAATCTTCTCTTGGAGTAGTAACTCTGCCTGATGACTGAACTTTGTGAGTGATGTAAGAACCTAGGTCTGTAGGAAAGAACTCCATCCTGGAAGAAGAGAGTCGAGGGGAAGTCCCAATAAAGGAACTGTCCAGGTGCTTACCTTTCCACCGGCTAAGGTGAAATCACAGTAAGAGATACTATAGCTGACATCTTGGGTTTCTCTCTTATCAGAATATTGGATAGGAATCCTTGTCCAGACAGACTCTTGGGACAGGGTGTAGGAAATTGTTTTAAGTTGTTTATTGTCTAAGGAAACAAAATTGTTACACATGTTATTAAAGCAAGGGTATTCATGTTAGCAGATAATTGAACTCAAACTTTTGAAGATATGCATTAAACATTCAGAGCTGTTAGAGCAACTGAGGAGATCCACTGAAATCACAGAATGATAGAATCACACATTTGGAAAGAGTCATTCCATTCAATCCTTTGCCTGTGCAAGAATCTACTGCTAAAGCAACCCTAGGTGGTGTCCATCCAAGCTCTGTTCCAAAATCTCAAAATGAGGCGAACCCATCATCTTCTGAAGTATTCTATTGTACTGTTGAACAGCTCTTGCAATTAGGGTGGTTTGCTTAATGTTTGATTGCAATCTCCACTCTTGTAATTTGAACTCTCTGGAGCAGTAAAAGCAAGCCTGCACTTTCTTCTACATGACACACCTCCAAATAGTTATTAGTGATTATTGTATCACCTTTTTGGCCATCTCCTTCAACTATGTTTTGCAGGTTTAGGTTTCTAAACAATTCACCATCTGGATGAACGCACCATCATCTAACACATTCCAGTTCTGTAACCCTTTTCTTAAACTGCAGTGCCTAGATCTGGACACAGAACTGCACATGATGCCTAACTAAAGAAGGATAAAAGTGGTATTATAGCTGAATGGGACTTAATTAGCCACTATGTACATATGTTCCATTGATTTTAATGGATTCACCACAGCTAGGACAAACGCTGAATTAGCTTATCAGGTTATTTCACTGTAACATTAGAGTGGGGAAATTACAAGAAGTGGCATTCTTTTGCCAAAGGTTGTGTAAGTACTAATAGAACAACTAGCAGTTAGAGCAAGTATAGGGCAGGGGATTGGCCAAAATGCTAAAAATGTGAGGGAAGAATAAGAATGGCTTTAAGGTCACATGTGTCTTTGAAAAATGGGGCCCCTGCAATGTACTTGCTGTCTCCAGATGTTTGCAGAAGCAACTCATGCATTTTTGCCAGAAAAAAGGGCAACTTTGGGAAATTCTGGATTCAGAAGTGGCTCTTTGTGTGTAGCTCTATGAGTCCCCAGGGTCGCATTTTGCCCACTCCGTTCCTACTGTTACAAAGTGGTAATGAGTTGCAAACAGATTTGAACAATAGCTTGCACAACAGTTTGTGCAAGCAGAATGAAAAGAATGGCTTAATTTATGTATTAATTAAAATGTTTATACCCCAACATATATCTTCAGGGAGATAGGGCGGTTAAAAATAAAGTATTATGATGATGATCATCATCATCATAATCACAGCACCTCAAGGCAGTGTGCAAACAAAATGGAGCAGCTTGGTACTTGCTGAATGTTACAGCCTTCGTCTATTTGAAAATCTCTGATTTTTTGGTACAACTTTTCAGAGTGAATTCCACTATGAGATGAAACTTTACTGTTAAAAAATTAATAACAAATATACTCATTATAGGAAAGCATAGCAATAGCATAATGCATTGAATCCATGTCCAAAATAATGCCACCTTCTCAAATGGGTTAACAAGTTTCTTAAAACAATTCATAATATAAAATTTAAAACTACAAGAATGAGGTGAAAACCAAATGAAAAGACAAAAGAACTATTGTGTTATTGTACAAGGAATTAATCACTTTATCTTACAACACAAAAACAACCCTTATAGAAACAAGAAAAAAAACTTTAGCGAGAAATTAATTAGTGCTTTGATTGACAAAATTCATAAAATTAAACATATGAGGATCAAAGAAACCCAAATGAAAATAGTCTCTAAATGGTATAGAACCCACCAACCCCCTTTCAATTAACACACATAATGGGAAATATTTCCAGCAAGTGTTGGCATAACTGTGGAAGGTTAGGTTCATTCTCCCACATGGGGTGGGGCTGCAGAAAAATTCAGAACTATTATAGTAAAATAAGAGATGTAATGGAAGAAATAATACAGAAAGAATTAAAGTGAGATAAAGCCAGATTTGCCACTATAAAGGCAAAGGACAATAACAATAATTGGACAGAAATCCTAAAATATATGACAGCCGCAATACAGGTTACAATAGCCTGAGGATGGAGAGACAATACAAGATGGAATTTAGAAACTTGGTGGGCTTATCTATCGGAATACATAATCAATGAATTCATTAATCAAAAGAAAAAAAAGGTATATAAATAGTCATACAGAACAAGACTAGTACAAGAAATGGTCTGTTCTAAATGACAAAATAGATGGAGACAACAGATATTGCATTATGAATCAGGCTTTCCACACGGTGGAAGGGAAGGTGTGGGTGACAGGTGATACACATCTAAGGAATGTATAAAGTTTCATTTAAGGAATATTTACTTTTGGAATAATGTATACCGAGATAAGGCTTCTATGGCAAAAGTTTGTTAATTGACAGGATGTAGCAATTAAAATAAATTTTAAAAAAGGGGGGGGGGGACCAAGGATCTCATCACACTAGAGAATGAATCCACTTTAAATCGGGTTGCTTCTTCCTGCAGAATTCTGGGGTTTGTAGTTTAGGGAGAAGCCTTTAACAGCCTCACTAAACTACAAAATCCAGAATTCTGCAGGAGGCAGAAACCAGATTTAAAGTGGATTCATTCTCTGGCGTGATGAAGTTGCAAGTGGCCAACTTATAGCAGAATTCACCAACAACATTACCAGATAAAAGGCAAGTTCAAAATTACATTGTAAACTCAAAGGACTGGATAAATTATCAGTTCAGAATCCCAATTAAAAAATTAAAAGGACAGAAATTAAGATGGAACACTCATGCATTTGCAACATAGTAATTAGATAAAAACCAAGTAAAAAATTACAATGTAAATTGCATAGGTTGAATATATTCTCAGACCAAATGCCAAATAAATAAATGAAAATGAACAAACAATAATAAAGTTTTAAATGAAGTTAAATCTCAACAGTAACTGATTGCAAGCCATGTTCATGGGACTGATGCACTCTCAGAGAAGTTCAAAATATAAAATTGAAAACAAGGAAAACAAAATTAAGAATGAATGCCTCAATTATTGCAAATTACAGCAGAACCAGATACGTTTGTTTCAGAAATTACAATGCAAACTCTTCTGTTGGACAAGATTTTTGGTTCAACATTTTAAAACTGTATTATTACAGTTTTTAAAGAATATCCAAATTAGCACAGAACACAGCAGCAATATAATGGAATTCATCATTGGAAAAATAGCTTGAACATTTAATGGGCTGGAACAGTTTTCAGATCCATTCAATACGTAGAATTAAAAATTACAGCTAGTATTGCATAAAAAAATCTTCTACATTTTCAGTCTGTCACTCAATTTGACAAAGCATAATTGCTTTAAAAGTGCTCAGTGGAAAAAAATCAAAAAAATATTGTGGTTGCTTTGGTACTGTTTCAAAAATGGAATTGGCAAGCTAGAACGGCACATGGTGTTTCCAAAGCTATTAGATCTTCCTTTTAATGCCTGTCTGGTCCCTTGTCAAATATTAAATCATGATAAATGCCATGGTTCACCAAAAAGGCTTAAAATGTGATTGATCACCATGCTACTGTATGTCACCAATAAGGAAGCATGGTCAGTCATCCACATTTACTGGGGCCAGCAGAACAGAAAAACCTCAAAGAAGGAAATGACAATTTTTTTACCTGAAATAACACCAGTATTAATGTCTAGGTCATCTAGTACAACTCTATGGTTAACTTCTCCTGGAAACTGAACATAGTATCACATTGGAGGACTTAAGAGATTCCCCCGGTAACACAGCAGGTTAAACCACTGAGCTGCTGAACTTGCTGACCGAAAGGTCGACGGTTCAAATCCGGGGAGCGGGGTAAGCTCCCGCTGTTAGCCTCAGCTTCTGCCAACCTGGCAGTTCAAAAACATGCAACTGTGAATAAATCAGTAGGAACCGCTTTGGCAGGAAGGTAACCACACTACACGCAGTTATGCTAGCCACATGACCTAAGAGGCATCTACGGGCAACGTCAGCTCTTCAGCTCAGAAATGGAGATAATCACCACCACCCAGAGTCAGACATGACTAGACTTAATGTCAAGGGGAAAACTTTATCTTTACTTTAGAAAAAAATTGTAATTACATTCATGAACAATCAAATCCACAAAAGTCAAAACCACTAATTGGAGGGACTGTAATGCATTTCATCTAATGAAAACGGGGCTGTGATCTCTTGGTATGAAACTCTTCTATATATTTCTGGGATACTCCTATGTATTTTGCAATTCTATTTTGGGTGTGATTGGGGGGGTCATCATTTCTTTGATTTTGTGCATTTGTATCTGGCCAGTAGAGGGTGTTTCTGGTTCAGTGTTTACATAGCATCATTCCAAGGTGTCCCTTACAAATCTTATCAAATATTTATGGATCCATAACTTGCTGATAAGATTATTCTCTCTCCTTCCAGGATCAGTGCATTTTCATAATTAGGCCAGATTTATATTTTTCAGAAGCTTTAATGCAAGAGTATCAAACTCATTTTCCTGGAGGACCACATCAGCCTCATGGTTGCCTTCGGAGGGCTGTTGAATCTGCGCAGTAAATGCATTCACCTGATCACTACCTTTTGGTGCAAAATAAGTAGTTCTGAGGAATCTAATCTTATCAGATTTCTAAACAATAATTGATTCATTAAATTCTTTACTTGTTTAACCCTGGAGACCTTTCTCCAATGTCCCAAACAGAAATGGCAGCCACTTCTGTCATGAGACTCCACCCCCCAGACACCCCCAAATTTCAAGTCATATTGTGGCTGATGGGGTGAATACTGATAACTTCAATTTGGTAACATTTTGCAGATGGATTTTGACAGATTACTGATGAGATGGGACCAAAGTCACGTGATGGGACCTGTTGGAAATCATTCTCAAGCATTATCTGAAATGGAATATTTCCTAATGTGATGGGGTCCCAGGTTGATTACTCCTTATCCAAAATTCTGGAACACAGAATGCTCCAGAATCCAAAATTGTGAACATTCGTGACTGAAATAGCGACACTTTTGCTGTTTGAGGATTCAATGCATGCTGTTTTCTGCAAAAAATATATTTTAAATCAGATGTATAAAGTTTCCTTCAGGCTATTTGTATATGAAATATGAATGAATTTCATGTATAGGCCTGGAGCATGTCTCCAAGACATCTCATTATACATGTATATGCAAATGCAGGCATTCCAAAATCTGAAATCCAAAACACTTCTGGTTCTCAGTATTTCAGATACCAAATCAATATGTACTGCAACAGCATGGAACAAAAGTTTGGGGCTTTTGGAGGATGGGCTTAAGTGGTTAGAGATCTGTCTCTACCAGTGTCAGACTCCTGTTGATAGAATGGCGATATTTCTGCCAAGAACAATGCCAATTGATTCTTTATTTGTGCATAGTTTTGCTGAGCCAGTGTCAATGTTCTTGATGCATACGTCAATGGACATCCATCCAATGTCAGTGCTGACCCAGCAACTTCAGGCAAGTCTGCTTGAAATGCATTTCCTTACTATCATCAACATGTGGCTCCTCAGGTAATAACATCTTTCATGTTATTGAATGCCTTGTCTAAGTTTTTGCTCCAATATCACTTCTTGCCTTTCTTTTTCAAATATTTTCATGATCTCAGGGAAGATTCGGTTTGTGGATCAGTTCAGCTCTTTGACGACTGACATATATTTATCATCTTGTTGTCCTTAACAATGAATCCATAGTATCCTCTAATTTTTTGCCCATTTGACTAGCAAAAATGTTTAAAGTGATTGTATGGCATTTCATGCCAAGAAGTCCTTAGGGGAAACAGAGCTTCTTTCATTTTTCCTGAGTGCATGTATGTTGAGGTGTGCACAATTTGCACTTTTGCCAGAGTTCTTGGTTGTTTTATATGCAGAGGGGCAATTGTCAGAAGCTAGGACATGACAATATCTCTCTCCGCAGAAAATCCTGGAAGGCTACATCTCCTTTTAAAAAGTTGATTCCAAATACTCTGTACAGCAGTGGTTCTCAACCTTCCTAATGCCACGACCCCTTCATACAGTTCCTCATGTTGTGGTGATCCATTACATTATTTTTGTTGCTACTTCATAACTGTAATTTTGCTACTGTTATGAATTGTAATGTTAATATCTGATATGCAGGATGTATTTTTGTTCACTGGACCAAATTTGGCACAAATACCCAATACGCCCAAATTTGAATACTGGTGGGGTTGGGGGGATTGATTTATCATTTGGGAGTTGCAGTTGCTGGGATTTATAGTTAGCCTACAGTCAAAGAGCATTCTGAACTCCAACAACAATGGAATTGAACCAAACTTGGCACACAACTCCCATGACCAACAGAAAATACTGAAAGGGTTTGGTGGGTATTGAGTTTTGGAGTTGTAGTTCACTTTGAGTTTTGGAGTTGTAGTTCATCTACATCCAGAGAGCACTGTGGACTCCAACATTGATAGATCTGGACCAAGCTTGGCACGAATCCTCAATATGCCAAAATGTGAACATAGGTGGAGTTTGGGGAAAATAGGCCTTGACATTTGGGAGTTGTAGTTCCTGAGATTTAAAGTTCACTTACAATCAAAGAGCATTCTGAACCCTACCAACGACAGAATTGGGACAAACCCAAATGATCAACAGAAAATACTGTGTTTTCTGATGGTCTTTGGCAACCCCTCTGGCACCCCTTCATGACCCCTCCTCCGGGGTCCCAATTCCCAGGTTGAGAAATGCTGCTCTACAAGATATGTTTTTGTAACTATTTTAGGCTCAAGGGAGGTCTTTTTTCACACCAGGAAGTGACTTATAAATATTAAATCCCACAGCAGCTTTGTTTCTATACTGTACAAGACCTACTATTTGGATCTGGTTTTGTCACATTTTTATTTGCGCTTGGAAATGATTTGTGTACCCTGGCCATTTTGATGGCACCGTATAATATATTAAACTCTTTTCTGTTAATAATGTTTACTGTATCTCTTTGGAGTTTGATCCCAAGGGGAATTGTGGCTTTTAGTCTATCATCTGCATCTATGAAGGCAGTCTTAATTGCAGCTCTGTTACTCATGCACCAGTGGATTCTGCCAGGGCTGGGCTCCTCCGACAGAAACACTTCCTCTTAATGGGAAGTGTTTTTCTTAGGCCTCGATGCATTCTGCTTCATATATATTACATGTTCTTTGCATTGTTTCTTCCCCAGGCTGGGTAGATTTACCACTGGAGGTCCATCTTATGATGTTTTGTCCTATGCTTATTTGAAAATCTGGCTCTGGTCTGCGATTTCTTTCCATCCAATCGAACTCTATTCTCAAAGTCCATGGTTACAATATTTGTAGAACTGGTTTTCACAGACCCCATGATTGAGTTCATATTGATACCACACAATGTTCCCAGATTGGACAAAACTCTTTCATTGCCTGAGTCAGAAACAATAAATTTCCTCCAATTGCAACTCTGCAACCAAATACAGAGAAACAAATGGGAAAGTATAACGGAGCTTCCTCTCACCCACCTTCTGAAATTCACAAATTTGTCCCTCCAGGAAAAGAGGTATGCAATGCATGTTTACATTTTTAAAGTATGGGGCTGGCTGACTCTATTTAAACATGTTAGTGCTGAATTAAAGATGCAACCTCCTTTCTAACAGGAAAACTTTGCTATCTTTCACATCGACGTAACAAGTATGTACAACATATGGCAAGCAGGTGGCATCTCACTATGCGGAATTGTCTTCCCTCTGATGTCAAATCAGCATCGGCAATTCCTCAATTTGAAGACTTGCCTATTTTCACAAGCCTCCCAGGATTAATTCAGCTTTTAACATCTGTTATATGGTTAATATAAAAGTGGCAAGCTTACAGGTAAACATTAGGAAAACAAAAATAATGATCACAGATGATTGAGATAAATTTGAAGTGGATGATAAAGACATCACAATAGTAGTTAAATGTTTTCAATAGCATGCTTTAGTCATAATTCAAAAGGCAAAGTGTATGTAAGAGATCAGAAGAAGATGGAGACTTAGAAAGGTGTTACGAAGGAACTGGGTAAGATCAGAAAGGGTAAAGGCATACCAAAGCCAGGAACATCCGTGCCATAGTATTTCTGATTCCCAGATATGGATGTGAAAGCTGTACAGAGAAGAAAGCTGACAGGAAGAGAATCAACTTATTTAAAATGTGTTGGAAGAGAGTTCTGGTAGTTACTACAGATAGCCATTCAGAAATATAAATGATTTTGACAGCAAAACAAGCTGAAATGTCTAAATTGAAGATACTGTACTTCACACATATGATGAGATGACAAAACTCATTAGAAAAGGTGACAATGCTTAGTAAGGTTGAAAGCAGTAGGAAAAAAGGAACATCGCATTACAGGTAGATAGACTTAATCAAGAAAGACACTGATCTCAGTTTACCAGATATAAGCCAGACTATTAATGAGGAGGGACCTCTGGTGGTGCAGTAGGTTAAACTGCTGAGCTGCTGAACTAGCTGACCAAAAGGTTGGCTGTTCAAATCCGGGGAGTGGGATGAGCTCCCACTGTTAGGCCCAGCTTCTGCGGGAAGGTAATAGCACTCCATGCAGTCATGCTGGCCACATGACCTTGGAGATGTCTATGAACAATGCCAGCTCTTCAGCTTAGAAATTGAGATGAGCACCACCCCGCAGAGTCGGACACAACTAGACTTAATGTCAGAGGAAAACCTTTACCTTACTAATAAGTGTCTTGGAAATCTCATTTATAAAATTTCAATGAGTCAAAACTAACTTGATGACAACTAAGAACAACAAATCTTTGTTTTATGCACTATATTGGATTGTATGCTTGCTTATTGTTGCACACTACTTTGAAAAGGGCAGATATAAGTGGCTTATAAAGACTTGTAAACAAATGCATTATAAAGGGTTTTTATGCTAGCTATATCTACTGCATTTTCCTAGTGCAAATGGAATTTCTCCCCAATCAAGTCACATCTCTGTCATACATCTCCAAATTTCCCTCAAACAAAAAGAACATGGAAGTATTTTAAGAAAATAACAAACAAGGAGAAAACATTTTTTTTCTCAAAACCATTTCTGAATCTCTATTTCTCTACAGTTGGGATCATCACAGCAGCTTCCCTGTTGCATGAAAAACCCATTATGTGCAGAGAATGAGACCTTGGAAGCAGACCCAACATGTGCATGATATTGGATTATTTTCCACTGCATCAAAATACTCAACTTCTTCCATAATACCACAGCATAGCAGCACGACTCCAAATTTAGTTGGAGATATCTGTGATAAAGCATAATTCCAGCACAGAGGTGAGCAAGCGCAGCTTATTTTGGCTTGTATGGCTGGCTGCAGTGTGGAATTTTTGGCAAGCAATCTGCAAAGAATGCTCCCACAAGTAACCATATGTCTGTTATCTTTCTGTATTCTTTGGGCCAATTTTCAGCCAGAACAAGAGTTTGGAAGGACAAAGATGTTTTGAAGGAAACCACTGCTTCAAGTGGTGTTTGGAAAAACTAAGAATACCAGGGAGGCTTAAGTATCTGTAATATGGAAGCTGGAGTGTTGTGTATGTCTCATGGCTTTCACTTACCCTGGCCCTGTTCCAGCACAAGAGTGAGTGGGACAGTTTTCCATTTCTATTATTTAAGTGCTATTTCTGCATTAATAAGTACTGCTGCAAATACAAACTACATCCAACTCACGTTGTTCGAGGCCATATACTGGAGTGATGTCTTTATTTTGCTCATTTGCCAAGTAGGCCAACTGTCTTGCCAATTGTTTCTCTTTCAGCCTGCAAAATCAAAACACAGATGGTATCTTTTCCTAAATGCAGAATCTGAGTTTCACATAATCTTGGAAGCTCAACATAGATAACTAGTAATTAATCCATTTTTGTAGAAAAGCTTGCTTTGGAACACCCATCGCACCACTAACATCTCTTTTTTCTAACAACAGCATATCTGTCAAATTGTTGTATCAGTCCATGTGTATCATTTAGACAGACATTTAACAGGATGATAAAAATAATATCAAATCATCCAGGCATCCCCTGGGCAACGTCCTTGCAGACTGCCAATTCTCTCACACCAGAAGCGACTTGCAGTTTCTCAAGTCGCTCCTGACACGACAAAAAGAAAAAAACTCAGACCCTATAAAAGGCTGCTGACCCCATCAAAAAAAAAAAAGGGGGGGGGGGGTGAAGCTCCCCGTAAGTACCAAGATTTTACTTTCTTTTTGTTTTGATTCCTATTCATTCATTTATTTATTTCTGGTATTTATATCCCGTCTCTTCTCTACCCCAAAAGGGGGACTCAGGACGGCTTACATAGGCAGCAATTCGATGCCGTTACATGAATAATTAATACAATTACCATTAAACATAATCATCAAACCATTAAAATACATAAAATATACAAGCCATTAATTAAACAGTATAAAACCTTAATTACCAATAAAACTGTATCCTTATGTAAATCGTCTTTCAACCAAAGTGCTGCTTTATGTCTGCTGACCAAAGGCTTGGCCCCACAGCCACGATTTTACATTCTTCCTGAAAGTCAGGAGATATGGGGTCGATCGTATTTCATTTGGAAGCTCGTTCCACAGGTGGGGAGCCACCGCTGAGAAGACCCTGTCCCTTGTGGTGGAAGCGAGAGCAAAGCCTCCCCGGATGATCTTAGGTTACGAGGTGGGACATAGAGGCAGATGCGTTCGGACAAGCTGGGCCAGAACCATATAGAACTTTATAGGTCAAAACTTTGAATTGAGCTCGGAAGTGGACAGGCAGCCAGTGAAGCTGACACAACAGGGGGTGGTATGCTCCCTGTATGTAGCTCCTGTTAGTAACCTGGCTGTTAGTAACTTGGTCGCAGTGGTCCACACTCTTTTTACATCTTGAATACTCTACTGCAACGCGCTCTAAGTGGGGTTGCCTTTGAAGACAGTTTGGAAGCTGCAAGTAGTCAAACGGACAGCAGCCAGTTTTCTAACTGGAGTGACACACAGGGAGCATACAACCCACCTGCTGAGCCAGCTCCTCTGGCTGCCAGTTTGCTATTGAGCACAATTCAAAGTGCTGGCTTTAGCCTATAAATCCCTAAACAGTTCTAGTCCAGCTTACCTATCCAAATGTATCTCTCTTTATGAGCTGGTTACAGCATTAAGATCGGCTACGGAGGTCCTGCTCTCGGTCTCACCACCCTCACAGGCGTGACTAGTGGGGACAAGAGACAGGGCCTTCTCGGTGGTGGGCCTTCAGCTGTGGAACTCCCTCCCCAGTGAGAGCAGATCAGCCCCCTCCTCCTGTCGTTTAGGAAACTACTCAAAGTGTGGCTTTTCAAGCATGCATTCAGGGAGTGAGATAGAGTAATTAAGATATCTTCAGGATTGGTGCAATGTCGAATGTTTTATGTTCTATGTTTGTCTGTGTCAGATGTTTTATAGTTTATTAGTTTTAATCTACTGTTATATGTTATTTTAGTTATGTAATGCATTTTATATTATGAGGCATTGAATTGTACCAATTACTTTGTTGTGGACTGCTTTGAGTCCCGTCCCCCCCCACAAAGAGTTGAGAAAATCAGCAAATAAATAAATAAACAAACAAACAGAAATCTATTGAGGGTACATTTCATTTCAGGCACTGTTGAGTCCCCTGGGAATATTTTGGAATGGCAAAAATGTTAAGTGCATCACCAAAATAAGACTGATTTGTGCAGAGAAAAACCTGGGACCTCCTTTTTCTCATTTGGAGAGGATGTCAGATGAGGCAAATATATTCAGAGGTTATGACATTTGTTGCTGTACTTCTCAACTTTTTTAAAAAATCCAAAAATATTTCTGTTATTTCAGGCTATTTTCTGGCAATTCCTGACACCAGTTGCATCCCTATCCTCAAGTAAGAGACTTTTGAATTCTGAAATATCGTTGAACAAAAACCTCCTTGCTCCTTTTTAAAAAAAGAGATCTTACAATGTAATGGCTTTTTGCATTATAACTCTCTCAAGAGTTTTAGAAAAATATTTCAAGAGGAAAAATGTTTCCTTCACAGAATCATCTCAGCAAATCTTTGGAAGAGCCCTAGCACAAACTGAAGAAATCACTACAAAAAGCCCCGAAAATAACGGAACCAATGATATGGTGATGGAAACAACTGGCAATATCCAAGGAACTATATCATGAGAACTCTGATTTCCTTAGATCAGTTTGGAAGAGCTCCCAAAAGATGAGAGCTTTTGAGTTAAAAGGAATGTGCGGAATCTTTAATGGCTTTTCTAATTTTACAGAATGAATGTCTCCTATCTCCTTTCCTCCTGCATTGACTTGTGTGTTCCACCACAATCTCTAGACATTTATGGGTCCCTCTTAAGCTATGTGTGGTAGGACATGGAGCAAAAAGCTGAAAGGTACATTCTTTCTTATCTTGGGATCAAGACACTGTTTTGTCCTTGGTTTCATCTGCCATGCCCAAGATCTTCAAGAATGGCTTTTTAGTGGCCTTGGATCTGGAAATGTTTCTTCTATGAACTTAATCTTGAATTAACTAATCTTAGGATCCAAGACAATGACAATGTCTTGGATCTGTTTCGTGTTGCATTACAAAACCTTTTCTTTTGCACCCCCCCCCCCCCGAAACAGAGATATAGTCTCAATAATGATTAAGTGAACATCTATCAACCACTTTACATACCTTTGCAGGGCTCTTTCCCTGGCTAGCTGCCTCTCGGATTCACTGCCACGTGCCTGATTGGGAGAAATGTCTATCCGCTGGTATTCAGGCTTTGTGTACTGCTTCTTCATACTGACAATGAACTCATGGAGCTCTCTACACTCCTGGCAACAGAAAAGCTAGAAAGCAAGGTCCTGCTGTTACCTGGTGGTGATATAGTCTTTGCTTTGTGGAGAGGCACCATGGAAAGGAAATACTTTTGGAGTACTTTCCTGCTACTTACATATGCATACTTTGCTATTTCTTCTAGACTTTCAAAGGAAGGATAGTGTCTCAGTGGGCTGCCACAGAACTCACAAGTTGCGGGAAAGTCCTTTTCAACCTGCAGAAACGAAAAGGGACAATGTTTTGAAAATCTGAGGGTCATACTAGATATTAAGGGAGATGGTATAATTCATGCAATTAATCCATTTCCCCTTCAACGGACACATTTTCTCAGAAATACATGGCTCAGCCATTAGCCTTCCAGTGATCAATCATGAAACAAAGCATGTGGAATATACACATGGTGAAAAACATATTGCCAGCACTCAGAAAAGCATCTCTGAAACATACTACCAGCACTCAGAAAAGCATCTCTGAAAAGCGTGACAAACTTAGTCAACAATTCAACTTTCAGTGATGATTATCAGGCAAGAAAGATTGAAAATATATCATGCTTCTGTATATGGGGATTATTCAAGCAGTAGGTGGAGAATCTCCAAGTTAAAATATGAGAAAATGAAGTCAGGCAATTAATTCACTTTTATCCAGAACCTCAAAATAGTTGATTAGAAAAACAGATGGAAAAACTGGAACCCCAGATTCACACATACCAGCTAACAACAGTTTATGATGAAAATGTGTCATGGCAAAGCCACAGTTCCCTGTTTAACATCCAAACCATAACAACAAGCCAAGATGAAAACCTCAATTTCTTTGTTTTTGGCAGCAGAATTATGCACACTTCTTCAAAGTTAAAGCCCACAAAATACAATGTAAATTATTTCAATGTAAAATACATTTCATTTTGCTTCCCCTCCCCCCCCCCAAGGAGCTCAATATGTTGAACATATCATTATCCTCACAACAAATCACTGATATAGTTTAAACAATTGCTCAAATTATTTCATTAAGCTTCATAAATATTGAAGGACTTTCCATCACAGTATAAAAGTTTATATATGTACTGTATAGTATTGTTATTGTCTTGTTTTAAAATCATGCTACATCATAGAATTTCTGTTTTAGTGTGGTTGTTTTTTAAACTCCTTTTCATTAGTTTTTGAGATGTACTTCATGCTGTGAGCTGCTCTAGGTCCCATGTTAGAAGAAAAGCTGAATATACTGGTATATTAATTAAATGCATAACATATATGCCATACCTTTGGCATATACTCTGATTTCTTGCTGAATGTGATCCAGCTAGTTGAAAATAGGTGATTTTAATATTATTTTGTTTTAAATAATGTTTAGGATACTAATAAAGACATTTTCAATGTGTATTTAGCCTGTATTTTATTACAATTAGCTACCCTGAGCCTTTCCAGCAAAAAGATGGCAGTAAAAAAAATTAATAGAAGATGAATAAAGAAATGCCAGAACCAGGCACAAACCAGCTTGTATCAGTTATGTGGGGGTGGGATCCGTGTAACAGTTTTTAGTCACCTTACCCAACACAATCAATTGTAAGAAATGTTGAATCCTATAACTTAATCCATTATAAATGTTGAAAGATGCTGTATCAGTTCAAGTGGTATCAAGTGATTTGACCTGACAAAGATCAGTTCTTTCTGATGGTATTCCCATTCTATGAAATTGGTGGGAAACTGGGGAAAAATTAGCAGTGGAGGCAGGTTCAAGGCATTCATGGAGAACCACAGCATGCCATGGGTTGAATGTTCTTTCTTACTGTTTACAGAGAGGGATTTTTTTGATAAGAAGGACCATTCAACCATACAATTTCCCTACTTCTTCATTCTTTCAGAAGCAGTAGAGTTGCAGAAAAACCATGCCCCATTTTTCCTTTTACTAGCAAACCTACTGGTTGATTCTCATGAAGTGATTATAATAATATGATTATAACTGTATTTGTGTTTGCATTGGTTGCCCTAAGGCTGGAGCGGCCTAGCTGAGAGGAGTGTGTTACCATGGAAACGATGCTGCAGAGGAGTGGGAGGAGCTTAGAGAAGAGTGTTTTTGAAAAGCGACAGTTAAGAGTCAGTCAGTTTTTAGGCTCAGAGGAGTGAAGAGTTAGGTTAGGAGGAGTGAACAGTCATGTAGAGAGAAAGTGGGAAGTAGAGAAACAGTGTTCGTGAATAGTCAGAGATTTCTTCAGTTAGGAAAGCTGAAGGGGAAAACCTTATTAGTTTCTTTAGTTAGAAAGAACTAACAGAGGCTTGTTTAGATTACTAGTTAAAAGAACTAGAGATCTGGTGTTTGATCACAGAAGAATCAAACAGGGAGACTATTCACCACAGAAAACATTGTTTAATAAAGTGCTTCACCACAGCAAGAGTTTTATAAGTTGTAACATCGGAAGTCTGAACTGTATCGCAACCAAGTTACATGTAACGTTCTCCAAGTATTTGCCAAGCTTAACATCAAACTGCAACCATACGCTTTGTTACAAAATAAACTTGTTCTCTTTGGTCTTTTAAAACTGCCTCATCTCCATTAATCCTACGTTCGGTGTACCCAATCATACAAAATTACCTCACAACACAAATAGGGTGGCATCCAGTGGTATTAATACCAGAGCCTTTTACAAATCGGTGGCTCCTCTCTCCTAAACCTAAGCACCTCTTCGCAATTTGGTGGCGGCTCTTCGCAAATTAGCGGCTTCGTTACAGCCATGTTAAACATGAAACATAGCTGCAGGATTCTTTTTTTCTGGCAGCTCAATCATTCCTCTATGAAAATTATCCATGGGAGAGCAAGTTACCTGTCAGCAGAAGATCAGTGGTTGGTAAATCCTTTCCCTGCCAGCTATTTCGTATCCTCAAAATTGCTGCTCACCCTTCTCCCCAGGTTTGCTTTCCAACCTGTTTTAGCAAAGACATGGGCCACCCACAGTGTATCTTTTCAACAAATAACATGAAGTAATCTATTTAGATATATCGAAGGTGCTCTAATTTTCCCCTAAAGATTATCCTTGCCCAAAGAGGGTTAGGGTTAGGACATTTAGCACAAAGTTCAATAAGGAAAAAACAATAGCAGGCAGTAACAGATAACAAGAGTCCACTTCTGCCAATTAGAACAAATAGTATTAAACAAGATTTAGGATGTTGAAAGACTCCAGTGTATTTTTTAAAGCAAGGTGTTGATAAAAGGTGTATTACTAAGGCTCAACGCCATCAGCTATCCCAAAATGGCCAGTAGATGGAAATGCAACCAGTTGGATCAGGGGAGAGGGGAAGTTGTATGTTTGTTTTTTAGTACAGTACTTCATCTCCCATCAGCATCAGCCAATGTGATCAATGGTCTATGGTGAGGCGAACTGTAGTCTAACAACAGATGAAACAACTGGGTTTTCATCTTTGAATTCAGCGGAGAGGAGGTGTCTTACCCCAATGATATATCCAACGTCCCACAAGAAAGAGGGAGCTCATTTACAGTTATTTAATAAACCATGAAGGTAAATAAAAAAGAAAGACTGAAAGATTCTTGGAGGCCTGTGAAACAGAAGGTAGGTCTCCCCAGATATGATTCTATGCACACACCTCTCTGGCTATTATATGCACATCACTGCTGTATGGAAAGAGCCATCACCTCTATATAAACATTTTCTCTTGAAGTTTCTGGTCTGTAGGCTAGGATTGTTGGTGGCCCAACACTGGACAGGGTACGCAGTGACTCCTTAAAGAGCCTTAAGAAGTCTTCTTTAAACTACAAACAAAAACAAAAAAGAGACAATTTAATTGAAAGCTCAAACCACTTATATACAATCTTCTGGTGAAATTAATCAATTTTGTGTGTGTGTCAGGATTGACTTGAGAGACTACAAGTCACTTCTGGTGTGAGAGAATTGCCTGTCTGCAAGGACATTGCCCAGGGGACGCCTGGATGGTTGATGTTTTTTCCATCCTTGCAGGAGGTTTCTCTCATGTCCCTGCATGGGGAGCTGGAGTTGACAGAGGGAGCTCAACTCACTCTCCCCAGATTCGAACTGCTGACCTATCTGTCAGCAGTCCTGCCAGCACAAGGGTTTAAACCACTGCACCACTGAGGGCTCAAATCAATAATCTTATAATAAGATTAAAAGAAAAGTTACACTGGATTAGGCCATAGGTCTATTATGTCCAGTGTTGTGTTTACACACTGGCCAAATTGTTGTCCACTGAAAATTCACCAGCAGGACATGAGGGCCAAATTCTACTGATTCTGGAGGATAATATGATCTGTAGCCAGTGACTGAGATGACTGTCTTTAGCTTCATTTTTTTTGTCGTGTCAGGAGTGACTTGAGAAACTGCAAGTCGCTTCTGGTGTGAGAGAATTAGCCGTCTGCAAGGACGTTGCCCAGGGGATGTTCTTATCATCCTTGTGGGAGGCTTCTCTCATGTCCCCGCATGAGGAGCTGGAGTCGATAGAGGGAGCTCATTCGCCTCTCTCCGGATTCAAACCTGCAACCTGTTAGTCTTCAGTCCTGCCGGCACAGGGGTTTAACCCACTGCGCCACCGGGGGCACCTTAGCTTCAATTGCACTCCTAAGTTCTAAGTGAAATGATGGAGTCAGGTCAGATGGGGCATTTATTCCAAGCAAAATGTGTAGATAACAACAGGTGAGTGAGTCATACCTCTGTATCGCACAAAACATCTAAGTTGCTGAGATCTTGGGACAGGACAGCATAGATATCTAGACATTAACAAAGAAAATTAATTATAAAACAATTGGTGTGTACTTGCTATTTTGATCTGAATTTTAGGTCATATCTACATTGCTCTTATTTAGAACCAAAGATTTCAAAACATCCTGTGCATTCCTCTACCACACACACACACACACACATATATATATCTCCTTTCTCCCAACATGGCATTCAAGTCTAGCTGTACCCAAGGACAGAGTCTTCTTTCCAGGATGGGCATGAAATAATTGAAAGTTCAAGAAATAAAGGTTAATGACTGACTGACTGAAAGTTAAAAGGCCCTTTATACTACAGAATCATGGCACTGTAATTGCACTTTAACTGCCATGGCAACATCCAATGAATACTAGGATCTGTTGCCATAATAGATAAAGTGCAATCATGGTACTATAACTGCGTAATGTGAAAGGGGCCAGTCCAGCATGAACCTTCCTCTTTGTGTGCCATGGTGAGACATTGGTGGACAACTCATTTCTGAAGCATTATCCTTTTCCTATGACCAAGATGCCTCAGGAATTGTAGAATATGTTAGATATCTTCCTCTGAGAGGATGAAATCCACACTTAGGGAGAAATCCAGCCATCACATCTCCATGGTTGGTTGGCTCATGCCCAAACTAGGGAAGGGAGGGCAGAATGTTCCCAATTCTATGCCAGGACAGCCTAAACAGCCTACCCCAATGCAGAAGCAGATCTTCCCCAGCTCTGAAAGCTGGCATAGCTGCTGGTTTTCAATGGAAAAGTATTTGTGTGTGTGCATCCCCCCCCCCCCCCCCCCAAATTGAACAGGGAAGGAAATGGAACCACCAGTGCTGTTCCTGCCTCGCTTTTGCCTTGCCATCATCAGCCTGTCTGGCATTTGTGTGGAATGATTCATCTGTTTTCAGGTCTCATCACACAGTTAGCTTCCCATGATAAAAGGCTAAAATGCCATGCTTCTGATAGGCATGGACTAGTTTTAACATCTTTGATCCACAGAAAGCTGCAGTTCATCATCATCATCATTAGAAACACACCAAGATTAGTAGACAGCAAACAAGGTCACTTTGCTGGCTGTTATATTGGATCACACGTCGGACACTTCCTAAGTGTCTAGGACTGTGTGATGTATTGGCAAATAATGCATACAGATCCCAGTAGGGTGGCCTTTTGCAGCTGACAGATGGTAATCTTGTCAGCACCGATTCTGTTTAAGTGCAGGCCAAGGTCTATAGTCACTGCACCCTCTGGGACCACCTTTACTAGCTTGTACCAGAGTCTTTGAAATTATTACTATTATTATTATTATTGACACAAAAACACAGTATGTCACAGCAAATGCTGGATTTGGTATCACAAAATCACAAGTTGAACACTTCCCAAGCATCTAGGACTGTGTGATGTATTTTCAAATGATGCATGCAGATCCAAGTAAGGTGGCCTTTATTATTATTATTATTATTATTATTATTATTATTATTATTATTATTTTGTTTATTTAAATCCCGCTTTTTCTCTCTGTAAGGAGACTCAAAGCGGCTCACAACTAAAAGCATTGCAATACAATTTAAAAAAATACTAATATACAAATTTTGAAACAGTATTAAACATTATTAGTATTAAAACACGTTGGATTAAATCCACAAAGACATACAAAATCACAGCAGTCCCCAACATGATCTTAAAACCTTCTTCTTTAAAAGCCTATCTCAATAAAAAGGTTTTAGACTGCTACCTGAAGGATAGCAGGGAGGGACCATTATGGCTTCCCTGGGTAGGGAGTTCCAGGATTGAGGGGCAGCTACCGAGAAGGAAGGCCCTCTCTCTCGTTCCCACCAACTGAGCTTGAGATGGAGGTGGGATTGAGAGAAGGGCCTCTCCTGAACATCTCAAGGCCTGCGCAGGTTCATAAAAGGAGAAGCGGTCAGCCAAATAGCCTGGACCCGAATCGTCTAGGGCTTTAAAGGTCATAACCAACACTTTAAATTGTGCCTGGAAACAGACTGGCAGCCAGTGGAGCTACTGCAACAGGGGAGTTGTCCATTCCTTGTAGCTAATCCCAGTTGGCAACCTGGCTGCAGCTCTTTGGACAAGCTGAAGTTTACAAATACTCTTCAAAGACAGACTCACATAGAGTGTGTTTCAGTAATCCAGACAGGGTGTAACTAAGGCATGCACCACCATGGCCAGATCTGGATTCTCAAAGAACAGGCGCAGAAGTTTAAATTGTGCAAAGGCCCTCCCAGCCACCGCCAACAACTAGGCCTCCAGGTTGAGTCCAGGAGACCCCCAAACTATGAACCTGTGTCTTCAGGGGGAGTGTAACCCCATTGAGCACAGGCTGAATCCCTATTCCCTGATCTGCCTTTCAAATGAACAGGAGCACTTCTGTCTTGTCTGCATTAAGTTTCAATTAGTTTGCCCCTCATCCAGTGCATTACTGATGAAAGGCACTGGTTTAGGATCAGAACAGCTTCCTTGGCTTTAGGTGGAAAGGAGTAGTAGAGTTGGGTGTCATCTGCATATAGGTGGCTCCCAGAGGTTTCATCAACATGTAAAAGGGAAAACCCTTTGTCAACTGCTCTCTAGAAGGAGGGGATGGGAACTGCAATACACTAATGTGATGCTATAGGGAGCTTAGGCAGTATATGCAGTGCTGAAGGATGCTGAGGGCTGCGGTTTAACGCATTTCCCACTCCTGTGTTATACAGAGACAATCAGGCTGAGAATAGTCAAAGTGGTTTCTAATAAAGTCATTGGTTTTCCCAGAGAACACATGTCTTTTGTTCCACTGTTGCCTCAGATCAATTCTGAAACAATAAAGCCCCTTGTAAAACTCGTTGCCAGAGGCAACTGTGGTACTGAACAAACTATGAGCAGATTCCCTCTTTCAAACTGCCCGATGCTCATCTAAGAAGAAGAAGAAATTCTCTTTCTGATTTAAGTACATCAAGTGTCTCACAGTTCTTATATCATAGATCTCTGTAGTGTCAATGTAAAGAGGGATAAGATTTTCATTTTGTGGATTAGGAATAAACACAATGGTACAGCCATATTCTTAAGACTTCTTGGGGAGTCTATTGCTAAACCCAGTTATTCTATTTCATAGAATGCTTGGCAGCATTTTGTGGGTCCACAGAAGCCCAGAAATAAAGGATGAAGAAGAAATTACTATTTCAGAGATCCATTTACCATTCTCACGAGGCAATCTTCTTTTTTTCTTTGGAGCTGAAAAAAAGTAATAGAAGCATTTTACTTGTCTGAAATATGAAGTTCATTTTGCTGAGAAGACTGAACATATGTGGAATAAAGTATGAAAATAGGCAACAGAAGGTGAGCAGAATGTTCTCAAGAGACTTTGTAAAATAAAATACAGCATAGCAGAGCAGAATGCAACTGCAATGTGTAAACATACACATATATTTGTTTCACAGAATCACGTTCAACAACATCAAGAAGCTTAGGTCTCTTTCACACTACAATTACAGCACTTTAATTCCCATGGCTCTGCCCTTGAGAATTGTGGGATTTGTAGTTTGGTAAGGCAGTGGGTTAAACTGCTGATCTGCTGAACTTGCTGACTGAAAGGTCAGTGGTTCAAATCCGGGGAGCAGGATGAGCTCCCACTGTTAGCCCTAGCTTCTGCCAGTCTGCTCGAAAATATGTAAATGTGAGTAGATCAATAGGTACCACTTTGGTGGGAAGGTAACAGAACTCCATGCAATCATGCCAGCCACATGATGTTGAAGCCTCAGCTGTTTTGGCCAATGATCAAGGATTCTGGGTCCAAAATAGCCCAGAGTTTGTTCTATATGACAGAATCTCAAAATAGCTTTAATGAGGCTTTTTCACTGATGATCAGACTAACTGTTGTGCTGTTACTTTCAGAAACAAATGTTTTACATAGCTCAGTCCCAATTAAGTCCTTTTTCAGAATATTATATTGGGTACTTATATTGGGTAATTGTGAGTTATCAAAAAATAGAGAACTCCATACAACTTATCATGAGAAGGATTCCCATGTTCTAGAACAGAGTTTTTCACCTTACTGTACAGCCCAAATTCTTAATCTGACTGAGTACATCAAGGAAGGATATGAGAAAGGTTGCATTACTGGAACAGTTTTTGTCAACCTTAAAGCAGCCTATGACATGGTGCAACATAGGAAAATGCTGCAGAAAGTCTACCATATTACCTGAAATGATGATTTTACAAAAACTATCCAGACTCTCTTAGAAAATCGTAGCTTCTATGTGGAGTTTCAGGGCAGGAAAAGTAGATAGAGGTGGCAAAAGAATGGTCTAACTCAAGGCAGCATTCTTACACTGACCTTGTTTAACATTTTACTAACAATCAGCCACAACCGCTACTCACAAAGAGCTTTATATATTCTGATGACCTTCATCTAATAACATAAACAAAAGACTTTGAAACAATCAAAAACCAACTTACTAATGCCCTGAAAGATCTTTCCAGCGACTTCAAAGATAACCACCAGAAGCCTAACCCTGCCAAGACACAAGTGTGTGCTTTCCACCTACATAACTGTGAAGTCAACCGGAAAGTTACCTGGAAAGGTCAAGAGCTTGAACACTGTTCCCATCCTACATATCTCAGTGTCACCTTAGATCAGAAACTAACATTTAGGAAACACTGTGCAAACACCAAGCACAAAGTAGCCACATGCAATAACATTCTGCGGAAACTTACTGGCAGCACAAGGGGTGCAAACCCAAAACTAATAAGAACATCATCCCTGGCCTTGTCTTACTCAACTGCTGAGTATGCTTACCCTCGTCTGGCACAAGTCTGTCCATGCAAAGCAGGTGAATACAGCACTGAATGAAACATGCAGAATAATCACAGGATGTCTCAAACCTATACCTGTTGATAGACTCTATAGGTTAGCTGGCATTGCCCCCCGATGTGAAATGGGAAGTTGCTGCTAAATGTGAGAGAAATAAGGTTGAACACTGTGAAAGTCATCCACTGCATGGCTATCAGCCTCCTCCTAGTAGACTTAAATCAAGGAAAAGCTTCATGAGAACCACCACTCCTCTTAATGTTCCCCCAGCAACAGCAGCTAAACCAGGAAATCCCAATTGGATGGTCCCTCACAAGGGTCTTCCTCCAAGGGCAAACCAAGAATGGGCAACTTGGAAGTCCTTGAACAGACTGAGAAGTGGAGTTGGCAGATCAAAAGAAAACCTAACTAAATGGCACTACCTAGAGGAATCCTCCACCATGTGCGACTGTGGAGCAGAACACACAACTCCGCATCTGTATGCTTGCTCACAATGCCCTGCCTCATGCACAGAGGAAGAACTGTTTAAAGTTACAGACAATGCGGTCACTGTTGCTCATTTTTGGTCTAAAATTATTTAGCTGCTTGTGCTCCCTCTATTTTATCAGTTTTATACTTGTTTATTTATGCAATGCTTTTGACACTAAATAAATAAAATATTATTGAGCTCTGGAAGGTGATGCCTTTAGTTCAACATATCTGAAAGGTACTATTATTGGGGCTATGAAAAAAGTGGCAGCCTGGGGGGTTCTTGGTAAGAGAAGGAAAACACTTGACGTAGTGTAAAAAACCCAACAATCATTAGATTTCTTTGAAACACTTCAGCTATTCTCATTATTATTTATATTGTCAGTTACTTTTTTACATTAGATAACATTGAGTGGCTTGCACTTTTGAACTACACACATTTCTTTGGAACTGTATATATGTTTCCTGGAAAGGCACATTGTGTCCTTCTTGCAATTTAAAAACAAACAAAACAGTCCCAGTATAACCAAAACAAATTTAGCATGATTTACTCTGCCAAAGTAGAACATTTTTGCTTCTGTTTGGTTACCACTGATAATAACTATAGCGAGGGTATTTCCATGACCGTCTATTAGAATTCCAACTCATTGGTGATACTTGACAGTCTTGAAGAAGCCACAATGGAATTTGGTAAAGGAGCCAACGTCTTTATAGAAGAGATTTTGGGCATTCCTTAAGTGAGGCCAGAAGAAATATGGAGCCAAACAAAACTCTTATACTATAATTTGAAACATTTGTGTTTCTCTTAAGATATATAAATCCATAAGCTTAATCAGAGAATCACAAAACATGGTGTAATGGGATGACAGCTAAGATTGTAGTAAGGGTTTAAATCTAGCCTCTCTAAATAAACACATTTTTTGCTCAAGCTTGACACTCACACTGAACATTTTTGTGCAAGTTTCACTCTGATCAACAAACTAGCTTTGGTGGGGGAGGGATTGCTGGCTTTGAACTATTTTACATAGACATTGATGGTAAAAGGAACCTTAAGCATTGCTCTTGAGCTTCTGTTTTTGTCACCTTGTAAATAAATACATTTCATAAAATACATGTAAGTGTATGATGGCAAATCTCTTATAGCAATCCAATTTCGCTGTCAAGTGTTCCTACAGAACATTTGCTATATTCTTCTAAAATGAACACTTTCTGCCATGTATATTTTTAAAAGTGGTCAGAAGCTGAATTTAGAAAGTACACCACTCCTCCAAGCCTTGACTCTTGTGCCTAAATTCTGCTGATGCATTACTAACTGTATTTTTCACAGGGAGTACCTTTAAATTAATATGTAACATGACCGTAAAGAAATGACTGGAAATGAAAAGGCCTTGTGTCAAAAAAGGACAAGATTCAATGCCACGTAATGCTCCCTGAGGAAACTAATCTACAAGTAGGTGCCAAAACCAAAAAGGTTCTTTTCTGATCACTGTTAGTCCAACATCTATCAATAAGATGGACTTTGTTTTAAGATTTGGGGGGGGGTGTTTTAAAATGCATTTTAATTGTATTTATTATATTTTTACTATGTTTTAACCTAATGCAGTACTATTTATTTAGTTTTAGTTTTAGTATTCACTTTAAATTAATCAAAGTGTGTGGTTGTTAGATGTCCTTGAGTCCTCTCAGGGAGAAAGATGGGGTATAAATAAAGTAAATAAATATTATAAATTAAATAATATATAGATCCAGTATTGGGTAAGTCAGAAATAAACCTTACCATTTGGACAGGTTTGTTTGGTAGTTTTATTTAGATGGTTTCTTTAAGTTTGAATAATATAATTATAGAATTGGAAGAGACCACTTGTGTTGGAGTTAGCAACCTTCTCAAGCCTCCTCTATTTAATGTTATGTCTGTTTATAATTTGTCATTTTATTTCCTGAATGCCTTCTTTGATTTGCAGTTTCCTTAGAGCTATGTACTTGAGGCAGTGGGAGGGGCTGCAAATCACATGATTGTTTAGAATCCATTTTAATCATGATGGCAGTTGAGGCTTGAGTCAGTTAGAATACAGAAGTCAGGGTTAGAAGTTAAAAGACAGCTAAGCCCTGAGTTAGCTTAAGTACAGAAGTCTATTTTTCATTCAGTTCAAAGTAGACTCTTATGAGAGAACTGTACAGAATATAGTTTTGAAAAGACTGTTAAAGACAATAAGTTAAAGATATAAACTGAAATGTTTTAAAGTTTAACCTGAAAAGAAATAATGCCTGTATATTTAAAAACATGAAGTTATGGGTAAAGGAAATATGTTATTTTACAAGAAGTTGATTTAAATCTTTGTCTGTTGAGAGCATTGGATAGAAACAAGATATTTACAAGCCGAACGATCATCAATAATCTAAGGAACACCTCCATAACTCTGTTATCCAATAAGTTACGATCCTAACAGGTCACAATCCATAATCCCCAGTATTTTGTGATCCTAACAAGTCATCATCCTTATCCCAATAGGTTATGATCCTAACAGGTCATAACCCATATCCCATTAACATGGGCCAATCAATCCAACTTACTGCCATGCAGGAATATCTAACCAAAACATTCCCAGCAGATGGGCATCCAGTGTTGGTTTTAAAAACCTCTGTCACTCTCCAAGGCATCATATACCACTCTTGAACAGTTCTTACTTTTAGGAAGTTTCCCTAATGTTTAGATGAAATCTCTCAACCCAAAATGGATTTCCATTCTACTGGCAGGGAAGCTACTAGCTGTCATTATGCCATTATGTTGTTATAGTACATAATAATGGCTCAGGTAGGCAAATAATTTGTGCTGATATAAGGCAGCTTCATATATTCTGTACTAAGAAAGTGTTCTCTTGGCGATTTTAAAAAAATACTCTGTACAATACAGTTGTTATTCTACTTACCTTTTCTCTTGAAGACGTGTTCATATAGCCAGCTTGCCTCTGTCTGCACTGCAACAGACACTTCCAAGTGTTCCTGATGTGTATCAGCAGCAATAGGATTCAATGCCCCCCTTTCAACAGACACAACATAACATTGTAATTATCAAGCTAAATAATTATATCTTCCAAACCAACCTCTAGGATCTTTTTATCATTTTGATGACTATGAGTTATGAGTTATCCCTCTTTCTCATTGTTCTAAGCAGTGGAAAAGAAAACTACTAGAAGAAATATTAATAAGCATAACAGTAAAAATTCCCCTGTTATTATTGGGAGCATTAACTCCCTCTGTTTTGGAAACACCCACACATTTGTTATGTCTACCATGGAAAATAGAACTGATAAATGTGCATCAGTCTTTTTAAAAAATGACAGGGAAGCAGGAAAATCACACAAAAGCTTGAGGATATTGTGAAAATGTTTAAAATATGAAAGATGATTGGATTGTTTTGCCCTTCGGTCTCAAAAATATACCTCCCACTCCTGCTAGTCCCAATCTTCTTCACTCCAGTACTTTCCAGCTGTTTTGGATCAGAAGGACTGTCTAAAGACATCATATTATCTGAGGGTTATGGCGTTTGTAATACCAGGTAAAGGAAGGTTGTTTTATATTCAATGGTGAGGTATATATTATACATGCATTTCCCCCTTGTGTAGGAGCTTGTGATATTGTTAGATTTGAACAAACTGGAAAATAATGCATGTCAATGACTCACCCGCTTAAATGGGAAATGACAGGGTGCTCTCTTCTAACGCTGCCCAATATTGTTGGATGAGCCTGGGCTCCTGCTGAGTATAAAGCAAATAAAGCCTTCGACAACACATAAACCAAAATAGTTACACATACAGTTTGACTATTTGCAGTTATTTACAGCAGAAGGGCAACATTGCCCAGCCATTTTTTCATTTGTTGAGCAAGGGCTTCGACCTTGGCTTCCAGAAACCAGTCTAACAACTTTAAAAAAAAAAGGTAGCCTATTTATTTTATTATTATTGTTTACTTGCCTAGTTTGAAAAAAAAAACCAAAACGAATCATATTGAGGCCTCTTCTTTCCAATCCTTAATTTTATTTCCTAGTGTAATCAAATCCTAAAATGCTACCCTCAGTTGTTCCTGTTTTGGTCAATTCAACACCCTCCCTTTATGCAGCTAAAGTAAAATATTTCCTCTACAAGTCAAAGGTCTTCTTGCTTTTTCACAACCAGTTTTTTTGTTTATCACTAGCTCTATGTAACAACTTTCTTAATCCACAATAGATTTGCTTAAGAGGATGTTAAAATGCAGTACCTGTGCTTGTTGATGGGATTTCAGTGATTTGAGGGGGAAATAATGCCGTCATTCCTACAGAAGAGAAAACATCTGATCCAGATTCTGGGCTGCTAACTGTTAATTCCTCTCGACTCTCTTTGTAAGACCTTAGCCAACAGAATGGCAATGCATTACTCTTTGAAAACAAGGGCAAAACATTGCACAAGTACAGTCTATTATAATTTAATTCTAACATTCCAACAGTAGAAGTTTTGGAACTTTTTTTCTCTTCTCCCACCTTCCTTCATACCGCCTGAAAACAAGCTGGCTTTCCATCCCATTGGAACAGGTTTCAGGGCACAGAGGGCTGAAGTAGAAAGAAAGGATTCCCTCACAGTCAGTCTCTATCATCAGCCTAACTTCACTGGAAGGGTTCTGCTGGATTCTCGTATTCCATTACTATTGATCCAGAGTTAGATCCTGTCGTATGACACCATCTGTGTATAGACCTACTTATGAAACCTGTAACACTTACATACAAGACTTTAAAACTTTAGAGTAATGCCAGTATGGCATAGTGGTTTGAGCATTTGATAATGACTCTGGAAACCAGAATTTGAATCCCCATTTTGGAATGAAACCCCACTGGGTGATCTTGGGCAAGTCACACACTCTCAGTCTCAGAAGATCTTGGAGTGGCCCTAAATTGGAAGAAACCTGAAGGCACACAACAATGACAACAGTAACAACTGTTGGAGGAAGCAACCTTCTCAAACCTTCTCTACATGATGTTTGTCTGTTTTTATAATGTGTTGTTTTATAAGCAGAAGTATTATGTCTTATTTGGTTTGCAGTTTCCTTATATCTATCTACCTAAAGCAGTGGGAGGGGCTGCAGGTCATGTGACTGACTCAGTGAGAGTTTAGAATGTTCAGTTTTAAACAGGATGACAATTAGGGAATGTTAGTTGAGGAATGATTGTTAGAGAGTTGTTATTGTGCCTTGAATGAGCTTGACTATAGGAGTCTGTCAGAGTGCAGAAGCTCATGTTAGGAAGTTAGAAACTGTTGAGGCTTGTGTGTTATTTGAAAGTAAACTCTTATTAAAGAGAGCTGTATAAAGCAACATAGTTTATGAAGAAACGGTTAAAGATTATAAGTTCAAGATACAAACTCTCTGAAATGTTACTAAAGTTTTTAATCCTTGACAAGAAATGTGCCGGTATCTTTAAATATATGAAGTTATCAGTAAACAAAACTTGTTATCTTTAAAAGAAGTCTGCTTGCATCATTGTCTACTGGAAGCATCAAACAGAAACAAAACAACAACATGCCCAGCTATAATCTATTACCAAATAAACTCTGCTAACCCGATTAGATTGTGATCCTAACCTTTCATGATCTATACCCTGATGGTCAGTGATCCTAATAGGTCATGATCCATTATCACCAATAACAACAACTTGAAAATTAGTTAACTTAGTTGCAACTGTATTGTCGAAGGCTTTCACGGCCAGAATCACTGGGTTGTTGTAAGTTTTTTGCCTGCATCTATGGAGGCTGTGACCTTACAACCTCTGAGAATGCCTGCTATAGATAGAGGTGAAATGTCAGGAGATAATGCTTCTGGAACATGGCCATACAGCCCAAAAAACTTACAACTTAGTTGCAACTCATCAGAATGTAATAAGGCAAATTCCATTATGAATGATCAAGATTGTTTGATATTGTTCTTCTTACTTAGCTGAAGATATAGAAGTTCTACTTTTAACTTCTTCCAGTTGATCTTCCAAACCTGTTTAGAGAAACACCATTAACACCCCAAAAAAGCATGGCATTTGCATGCCTAAATAAACACAAAGCTTGCATCCTGTTCTCCTCCAAGGGAACACATACTATTTTTAATACAGACATCCATTACATAATTTACACTTTAAAAAGAAACAAAGAACACTACCACTTTTTCTTATGCTGAAAATAGCGTAAGGGTGAGACCTTATTTTCTTAAAAGAATGAAAAGAATCCAAGAAAATTGTTTCCTATCTTCCATAAAACATACCCAACTCATTTTACAGTTGTATCTGTTCACTGTATCATTCAAGACTTGCACTGTCAGCCTTCCTTAATCTTGTACCTTCACTACATGATGGACTACAATACCTATGAATCCCAGCTGGAATGGGAAATGGGCATGAATACAAGGTTGGAAACTGTCGCAATAAAGCAGGGATGGACCAAGTGTGATCTGTAGACTACACAGACCTACAAGGACACAGGAGTCTAAATGTTTTTGCTTCATGACCCAAGAACGCCCAAAAACATGGTGAAAATGCTCTCTATATCTCTTAGAAGGCTTTTGTTGGCATGATTCTCTCTCTCCGCCCTCCCCACAAGAAGCTGATGTTGTGGTTGTGATGGGCTGCAGTTTTCCCAGGCCTCAGAGGTAGGGAGAATGCACCCCTTTGCCTCATCCAAAGTTTCCCCGAAATAAAGGAAATATATTTCAGCATCGATGGCATTTTTAAAGAGAGGGCCATTTAGGCTTCAATGCCAGATTGAGAAGACCCTTTTAAAGCTGCTTTTGTGTACATAATTGTATCTCAGATGTACCTGTTGTAAGAATTAGTATAGGCAGAGCATTGATGGACTGTGCAGGCAACAGTCTCTATTGGGCAACCAGCTGTTGCAAGAAATGCTTTGTTTTAAACATTTGGGGTATGAAAGAGGACCACATCCACCTTCTAAGGGCCTGTCCAGACAGCACCTTTATTGTAGTATCTCTCACACCTCAGAACAGGTTCACCTTGCTGAAAACACCAAACTGCACACGGCCAGAAGTCTTTATAGTTTATTAAAAAGTAAAAGATAAAAAGTTCTTAAAAGCAAAAGCAATGTTCAAAAAGATCAATACAAAATAGCACTTTGAAGCATGATCCAAAAAGGCACCAGGAAAGTAAAATCCCATGACTGAGTCCTGAGACCATGAACACAAGAACTACAAGATAATCCAGACAAGCAAAATGCAAGCTTCTTGGTTAACGTAAAGTTTCTCTGACAAAGGTTTGGTCCCAAACACACTGCTTAATACCCTTTGCAAAACATGAAGGCTTTCCTTTTGCCTATGACCTCCTTCTTGTTAGCTATTCTCACACTCCTTCGAACTCTGAATTCCAAACGGTCAGCATGATCTAAGGTTCCCGTTTCGTCAAGGTCAGTCTGTTTGTTAGTGTTATCCAGTTTGCCTTCCTGCTCATTATCAGGCTGAGAACTGTCCTCCTTTTCTGAGTCTATTTGCACCTGCACCTGTCTAGTTTCAGTAGCAACAAACCCATTCCTTGCTGTGGGAAACTGAACTTCCACACCTTGTTCCTCACTGATTATAACAGGGACATTTTGAATGAGATTGTAAACCTGAGTCCCATCATCCTCATCAGAGGCACTCTGTGGTTCCAGCTGAGTCACAACAGTATCTACCGCAATAAAGGAGGGCCAGTCCAGATAACGTTCTGGACAGTCCTGAATTAATTTGCTACAAATCAGGAAAGCCCTGGTTTGTAGCGAATTAATTTGATAGTGGATTTATTCCATGCCTTCTTGGAAGGCGTAGGATAAATCCACTATTTCCGGTGTCTGGACTACAGTCCAGACACCATTCTCACAGTTTACCAGGTTAAATAAGCCTGGTAAACTGTGGGAATACCCACCCCCCCCCCTCTCCCCAAGCCCCCAGACCTCTTAGAAAAGTAATGAATACTTAGCAGGCCTCCATTACAGCTTTGACCAGCTCTCCTGGCAGGCTGAAGCTGTAATGGAGGCCCGGTAAGTATTACTTTTTAAGGGAGTGGGGGCTTGCGGGGGGGGGGGGGATAGGACCCCCCCCATTCTGGACACCATTCTGTCCAGAAATAAAGGTCTGTCTGGATCTGGCCTAAGCTAAGCGCAGAGAATAATTCTTGTCTGATCTGTGGACAAATTGCTATAACATATTTAGTCTGTGTGTGTATGTGTGTGTCTATCTATCTATCTTTTATAAGAGATTAGTCTGAAATCATTGCTTTCCTTGCCCTGAATACTCCAGATATTCACTTTTCTTCCCCCACTTCAAACTCAGCAGACAGACAGTACCTGTGGCCACAGCTGGCTCTTCCATGGTCTCCTCCAGTTCCATTTCAGCACTACTCTCATGCTGCAGATTTGCTATGCTATTTTCGGGTGCCCTGTGTTGAAAATAAATTACATTTAGCTGATGAAGAAAGGCTATTGGTTTTGAAGCACTGAGCATCAATTAATGCAGCTGCCTAGCTTCATAAGAAAGAAGTTCGGAAGTTTGATGTGAAAGAGAGTAATTATGCACATGCTTTCTTGTTTTAGCCATATCTTTTCCTTCTGAATTTCAGATTTTCAAGGATGGTTCTCAGATACAGTGGGAGGGAGATCTATTAGAATGGTCTGTCCCTGGAGACAGATGGGTTCTAATGGGTTTTTGTGGATCTAAAGGGAGTTTACAAAGTGGCAGAATGGGTACTTTATCTTTTGCCATCCCCTGGTAACTGTAGCCAACATTGCTCCTTCATTGCTGTCACTAGTAGCCTAGAGGCTTGGTTGCAAACTAAAACAAAGGAACAGGGCTCACAAGACTACATGTTGTTTGCGTCACCCATCAGGTCACTGCAATGGGGAGAAGGCTAAACTCTCCTTTTCCTCCTTAATAAGCAAGAAGTTACTGTAGTTGCTGCGAGTTTTCTGGGCTATATAGCCATGTTCCAAAAGCATTCTTTCCTGACATTTTGCCCACATCTATGGCAGGCATCCTCAGAGGCTGTGAGGTCTGTTGTGAGGTCTATTTACTGTCCTGATTTTAGAGGGTTTTTTTTTTACATTCAGCAAAGGACAAGAGGGATCCTCTCACCTCTGCAGGAGTCTACCGTATACCATGCAGCTGTGGATAAGGCTACATAGGGACCACCAAACACAACACCCAAATATGAATCAAGGAAGATGAAAGGCACTGCAGACTGATTAGGCGAAAGAAGTCAGCCATAGCAGAGCACCTGATGAACCAACCTGGACACGGCATATTATCTGAGAACACAGAAAGGCTGGACCACTCTTACAACTACTATGTCAGACTCCACAGAGAAGCCACTGAAATCCACAAGCATGCAGACAACTTCAGCAGAAAGGAGGAAACTATGGAAATGAACAAAATCTGGCTACCAGTAATAAAAAAACTGTAAAATCAGGAGAGTAAATAAGGAGCCACCCTCAAAAAACAGGGGAATTCTAGACAGGAAACAATCAGGGCCAGCTAATTACCTCCCAACAAAGGATTACCTCCCAACAAAGTAAATAAGGAGCCACCCTCAAAAAACAGGGGAATTCTAGACAGGAAACAATCAGGGCCAGCTAATTACCTCCCAACAAAGGATTCCCTAGGCAGGAAGCAGCCAGTCTTTGAAGCTGCAAGGCCATTCAATGCTACTCAAGCTGGCCAATTGCAACATTCACACTTTCCTCAAGCAGGCAAGAGTTCTTTCTCCCATCCTGGACATTCCATAGATATATGGAGGATGTAGAAAACAAGAGCATGGAGATGTTCACTTATTTGAACTGAAATTTCCATGTCCAAAAGACTTCTATGGACTTCTGGTTTAACCCATTTTTACCCCTGTTACACAAAGTAAGGAAATACAGGACTGGCTCTAATCTGAAGTGGTTGGCTTTCCACTTAGGTTGGCATTGCATTCTCTTTTCTCTTCGATAGTCTTGTCTTACATAAATAGTTTCATTCTTTAAAATCTATTTCCATATCATAGGCAATGAATATGTTATGCTTTGCGCTGCAGGAAAAGTATGGCTTAGCATATGGACTGAATTTGTTGCTAATTTATTGGATGTCTAGACATGCTTTAAGAGGGCATTCTCTCTCTCGATTGCCAATACACTGCAATACTGTGACAAACCACAATGGAATAAAAACAAGTCAGTCTAGACCAGGCATGGGCAAACTTGGGCCCTCCAGATGTTTTGGACTCCAACTCCCACCATTCCTAACAACCTTAGCCCCCTTCCTTTCCCCCTCAGCCTCTTAAGCAGCTGAGGGGGAAAAGAAGGGGCCTGAGGTTGTTAGGAATTGTGGGAGTTGAAGTTCAAAACACCTGGAGGGTCAAAGGTTGTGCATGCCTGGTATAGATTCATTATAACTTACCTGGTTGGTGGCGTTGGTTGTCCTTTTCCCATGTCTTCATTGTCTGTTGGATACAAACAGATGGAGATAACTTGACTCTCAAAAGGTTCCTATAGCAGCCGTTGAGCTCTTATGATCTGGAAGCAAAACCTTGAAAACTCTGCCGAAAAGTGTCCCTATTCCAGCTCAAGGCAATTGTGCTTAAGACTGCAATTGAATCCAACTGTTTCCAAATTGCCCCACACACTCAGATAATGTGGGGTTTTCTGCCTTGATATTGTGGGATATCAGGCTGTGTGGAAGGGCCCTATGTTACTTTTAACAAATACTACTTATTTTGTCTCTTGAGAGCATGATTTCAAACAAAATATATTTTATGGGAGAGTAAATGTTTTTCGGGCAGCTAAAGTAACACTTCTGAAGATCGGTTATATATTTTGTGCATCGGCATAATCTTTGTTCCTAACAGTTCAAAGAGATAACCAGGTATATCAGTCTAACAGCTGAGAAGACTAATTTGCCTTGCATGAATGAATACTGGTGGATTTTCATGAATGAATGAATACTGGTAATGATTTTCCAAAAGGTCATGCTTCTAAAAGGCTATGGAGATTCTGGTTTTCCAAAAGGTTATGATCTCAAAGGCCACCCTTTTCCTAAACATGGATACTACAACTGAATAAGAAAACTACCTTGCATTTTTTTTTTGCTTTTTCAGTCCCTTCAAGTCATTTCCAACATCTAAAGCTGCACTAAAGCTGCATCTACACCAGGAATGAGAGAACGTGGACCCTCCAGGTGTTTTGGACTCCAACTCCCACCCTTCCTAACAGCCTCAGGCCCCTTCCTTTTCCCCCTCAGCTGCTTATGAGAGAACTTGGGCCCTTCAGGTATTTTGGACTCCAACTCCCACCATTTCTAACAGGCCCAGGCCCTTCCTTATCCCCCTCAGCCGCTTATGAGAGAACTTGGGCCCTCCAGGTGTTTTGGACTCCAACGCCCACCATTCCTAACATCCTCAGGCCCCTTCCTTTTCCCCCTCGGCTGCTTATGAGAGAACATGGGCCCTCCAGGTGTTTTGGACTCCAATACCCACCATTCCTAACATCCTCAGGCCCCTTCCTTCTCCCCCTCAGCCGCTTATAGGCCAACTTGGGCCCTCCAGGTGTTTTGGACTCCAACTCCCACCATTCCTTACAGCCTCGGGTCCTTTCCTTTCCCTCCTCAGCCGCTTATGAGAGAACATGGGCTCTCCAGGTGTTTTGGACTCCAACTCCCACCATTCCTTACAGCCTCGGGTCCCTTCCTTTTCCCCCCTCAGCCACTTATGAAAGAACTTGGGCCCTCCAGGTATTTTGGACTCCAATGCCCACCATTCCTAACAGCCTTGGGTCCTTTCCTTTCCCTCCTCAGCCGCTTATGAGAGAACTTGGGCACTCCAGGTGTTTTGGACTCAAACCCCCACCATTCCTTACAGCCTCAGGCCCTTTCCACTTAAGCAGCTGAGGAGGAAAAGGAAAGGGCCTGAGACTGTTAGAAATGGTGGGAGTTGGAGTCCAAAACACCTGGAGGGTCCAAGTTTGCTCATACCTGGTGTAGATGCAGCTTTAGTGCAGTTTCACCACACTTCAGCTGCTATTCCTCAATGCTATGGAATCATAGTTGCAGTTTTGCTAGGTCTTTGCTTTGCTAGCCTTTTCTTCCTCATCAAACCACATATGCCAGGGTTCCCTAGCAGTGAGCCATTGCAGTTAAAGTGGTATCAAACTGCATCAATTCTACAGTGTAGATGCAGCCTGATACCCTTCCATCTTTTAAACCTCATTGTTCCCACACTGGCTCCCTGTTGCTGGGCATTGACTTTGGAGCGACACCTGAATCTTCTCCTCCATCGCCTCCCTTTTCGCGGTTTCCTTCTTCCATCCTGCGGTGCGCTCAAATCGCTCCTGGCAAAAAAAATAGGGGTCGCGGCCTCTTTAAGAGGAATCAAAAGGGCCGCTTTCAAAGGCCCGGCGTTCGAAGCGCATTATGACGCGCGCGGTGTTTTGCATCCTGTCTCCATGGAGACCCTTCTCCCTGGGTTGCAAAGGAGCCTCTCAGCCAGGGATGCTGCTGACGCTTTTGCAGAAGCCCCGCCCCCTGCTGGAGGCGCATGCTCGCGCCTTGAGGCTGTTTTCAGGATCTCTGCTGCTTTTGCCTTGACCTCTTCTATAATAAAATTTTCCCCTCCTTGCTGTGATTCTTTGCAGGCGAGACACTTAAAGGGGCATCTACACTGTTGATAGAATTAATGCAGTTTGATACCAGGTTAACTGCTTTGGCCCAATGCTATGGAATTATGAGTGTTGCAGGGTTCCCCCCCCAAGGTTTTAAAATTGAGCCTAAGAGTCACCAAATTATAACTCCCATTATTCCATAGCATTCAGAGTGGTGTCAAACTGCATTAATTCTACAGTGTAGGCACATCCCATATTCAATCCTGGCTCCGTCATGGAAACCTATTGAGTCACAATCTCTCAGACCCATCACAATATCATCACCTTGGCTGCTATACAAATTTTCAGCTTGATGCAACAGTAGCCATTGGGTTGCTGTAAGTTTTTCGGGCTGTGAGGCCATGTTCAAGAAGCATTCTTACCACTTCACACATCCAATTTGCCAAGCATAAGAAAGGATGGCAAAGAGAGAAAAAGAAGGAAAGAGGAGAGGAAGAAAGTGAGAAAAGGAAGGAAGAGGAAAGGAGGGAATGAAGGAGAAAAGGGAGGGAAGAGGGAAGAAAAAGGGAGGGAGGAAGAAAGGGAAGAAGGGAAGAAAAGGAGGTTGTTGTTGTTCATTCGTTCAGTCGTCTCAGACTCTTCGTGACCTCATGGACCAACCCACGCCAGAGCTCCCTGTCGGCCATCACCACCCCCAGCTCCTTCAAGGTCAGTCCAGTCACTTCAAGGATGCCATCCATCTTGCCCTTGGTCGGCCCCTCTTCCTTTTGCCTTCCACTTTCCCCAGCATAATTGTCTTTTCTAGGCTTTGCTGTCTCCTCATGAAAAGGAGGTAGGAAGTAAAAGAGAAAAGAAAGGAGGGACAGAGAGAGAAAAGGAAGGAAGATAGGTTTGGAAAAAAAGTGGAAAGAATTCAGAAAGCATGATGTAGTGGTTTAAATCTTGGACTATGGTCTTGAACCCACTGGGTTTTTTTGTCATGTCAGGAGTGACTTGAGAAACTGCAAGTCGCTTCTGGTGTGAGAGAATTGGCCGCCTGCAAGGACGTTGCCCAGGGGATGCCTGGATGAATTGATGTTTTTATCATCCTTGTGGGAGGCTTCTCTCATGTCCCCGCATGAGGAGCTGGAGCTGATAGAGGGAGCTCATCTGCCTCTCCCTGGATTCGAACCGACCTGTCGGTCTTCAGTCCTGCCGGCACAGGGGTTTAACCCACTGTGTCACTGGGGGCTAACCCACTGGGTGACTTTAGCCAAGTCACACTCTCTCAGCCTCAGAAGAAGAGAAAGGCCCCTTTGACTAAATCTTGACCAGAAAACTCAGTGATAGGTTTGCCTTAGGGTCACCCTAAGTCTAAAACGACCTGAAGCTACACAACAACAACCCTAATAATAATAAAAAATAGTAGGTAAAGGTTTTCCCTTGACATTAAGTTCAGTCGTGTCCGACTCTGGGGGTTTGTGCTCATCTCAATTTCTAAACCAAAGAGCCGACATTATCCGTATACAACTCCAAGGTCATGTGGCCAGCATGACTGCAATAATAATAATAATAATAATAATAATAATAATAATAATAATAATACACTTTATTTGTATTCCGCCATATCTCCATGAGGGGACTCAAGGCAGATTCCAGCATATACAGGGTGAGGCAGCATAACTTCTTTTTTAAAAATGCGTGTCATTCAGTCGGTTGAAGATGTAGTGGAGCGCTAGTGGTCTCGTTCAAGAGGCGGGAGTATAAAGTTTTGTCATGACACAGTTCAGTCACCATCATGCGTTGGAACAGTGAGGAGCGTGCTTTTGCCATTGAGGCCTACTTTTCAAGCGGATTTGGAGTGGCCGGCCTGCTCTCCAGATTTGGCCCCTTGTGATTTTTTTCTATGGGTTTTTTTTGAAATCCCGTGTTTATGTGAACCATCCAAGGACCCTACAAGATTTGAAGACCAACATCCAGGAAGAAATTGCCAACATAACACCTGCTGTGCTGGCAAGAGTCATGACAAATGCCAGAAATCGGTTTACTCTGTGAATGGAGAATGGGGGACATCACCTACCTAATTTGATCTTCAAAACTACATAAAACAAAACTTTAGCTATGCGCCTACATTATATGAAAAAAAAATCTGGCTTTTATTAAGTTTTGAAAAAAGGAAGTTATGCTGCCTCACCCTGTACAAACACAGGCAAACATTAAATGCCTCGAAACAATGAAACACAGATACACAGATAAAGGTAAAGGCTTCCGCTTCATCCCTGCCTTGAGGGGTGGTGCTCATCTCCATTTCTATGCCAAAGAGCTTGCACTGTCCGTAGACACCTCCAAAGTCATGTGACTGGCATGACTGCATGGAGCGCCACTTACCTTCCTTCCCAGGAGGTACTTATCGATCTACTCACATTTGCGTGTTTTTGAACTGCTAGGTTGGCATGAGCTGGGGCTAACAGCGGGAGCTCACCCCGTCCTGTGGATTCCAACCAACTTTCAGGTCAGCAAGTTCAGGGGTTTAACTGTTGCACCACTACAGCTATCTCATCAGCCAAAGATGGCCTATACTTCACAATGAAATATTTGTAAGCTTATGTTGGTTAAAATTCTTCTTCATTTTAAATATCAACTGTTCTTTCATGGTTTTTGCATTAAAAATAGGATATGTGCAGTATGCATAGGAATTTGTTTATTGTTTTTTCCCCAAACTATATTCCGTCCCTCCAACAGTCTGAGGGACTGTGAACCATCCCTCTGCTTAAAAGGTTTGAGGACCCCTGGTTTAAATCTTTCACTGAGAAAATCAATTTCATGAACTTAGTATATATGGTCCATCAGTATCTCTGCTTCCTCAATCCTTGTTCTGATCTGAATGCACTGCTGAGGAAATGCTGGTATTCTCTTCTTTTGTCAGCTGTTTCCCAGGGTGGAACTCTGCAAGAGGGTTTTGGTCCAAAGGTGATGTTTATGCGTATTTGTCTCTTTGGCCTCTCCAACTGAGAAATAAAAACACCACTCTTGGAAGTGACAGCGAAAAGCAGCTGTAGGCATTGCTGTGCTGGCATATTTGGCTCCCAACATCCGAGTGAGCTCACTTTTGGAATGTACAATAGCTATTCTAGGGGCATAGTGTCACAATTTGAAAGGGCCCGAGCCAACTTTGGAGCTCTAGGAATCCAAATCTTTGCGTGTTCACGGTCCAGTAAATCTACACCAAGGAAATCTGTCTCATGCACACGCATATCCTCACAGCACATGCCCTAAAAAGTCTCTTTTTCAACTCCCCAGGTATCAACGCTGCCATTTAATCTCTGCTATTTGCATGGTGTGAACAATCTGAAGCAGTTCACAACTGGCTCTTCAATCTGGAAGTACAGTCTCCGCTTGCCAAAGAAGATGGTAACAGCTTTTCCAAACACTCCATGAGAAGCCATACTTACGTTTTATTAAAGGGTCTGATTTGGTATGATGATGAAACCAGAGTTTTTTTTAAAAAAAAATTGGGGGGGGGGGGGATCCCCTTGGCCACGTTGGTAGAAGAAATCAAGAAATTTCCAGTCAAACATATTAACTTTGCCAAGCACCTGGTGAAACCAACTGTAATCCCAGCATTGGCTGCTGAACTGTTTAAAGTTGCAGAACATCTGCCAAGCAAGCAGCTATGAGTGCATCTACACTGTAGAATTAATGCAGTTTGGCCCAACTTTAACTGCCATAGCTCAATGCTATGGAATCCTGGGATTTGTATTATTATTATTATTTATTTATCTACTGTATTTATATACAGCTTTTCCCACCCCGGGGGGTGGGGGTGGGTGGGACTTAAAGCAATTTACAACATACTCATGGCAAAATTCAATGCCAAACATACATTTAAAATTCATAATAATAGCTAAGCAATAACATATAACTATAAGTTAAAATCAATTAAGACCATTAAACATAAGATATAAGCAACATTTAAACAGAGCATTAAAACATCCTAGAATAAAATCACAAGATCCAAAATCATAAACCGTAATTATTCCAAATTGTCAATTGCACATATTCCCTAATTATTTCTTACACTGCATTACTTTACTAGTCAAAGGCTTGGTCCCACAGTCATGTCTGTTATCTTTCTGAAAGCCAAGAGTGAAGGTGCTGATCTAATCTCGCTGGGGAGGAAGTACCAGAGCCAAGGAGCCACCACTGAAAAGGCCCTGTCTCTCATCCCCACCAACTACACTTGCAAAAGAGGTGGGACCAAGAGCAGGGTCTCCCCAGAAGATCTTAACCTCCGTGATGGGTCATAGCAGGAGATACATTCTGATAGTTAAGCTTAAAGCCAGCACTTTGAATTGTGCTCAGTAGCAGACTGGGTGCCAGTGGAGCTGGTGTAAAGGGGGTTTTGTGCTCACAGCACACAGCTCCCGGTGGCACAGTGGGTTAAACCCTTGTGCCGGCAGGACTGAAGACCAACAGGTCGCAGGTTCGAATCTGGGGAGAGCGCAGATGAGCTCCCTCTTATCAGCTTCAGCTCATCATGCGGGGACATGAGAGAAGCCTCCCACAAGGATGATAAAACATCAAAACACCCGGGCGTCCCCTGGGCAACATCTTTGCAGATGGCCAATTCTCTCACACCAGAAGTGACTTGCAGTTTCTCAAGTCACTCCTGACATGACAAAAAAAAAATCGGTCCGGTGAGCAATCTGGCTGCCGCTTGCTGGACTACTTCCAAAGTCTTCAAAGGCAACCCTACATAGAGCACATTGTAGTAGTCTATTCTCGATGTAACAAGAGCATGTACCACGGTAGCCAAGCCTGACTTTATAGTTTGGTGAAGCATCAGCACTCTTTGACAGAGAAGGCTACAGGAGAGAATGCT